TCTACCCACTTTACGCCAATCTTTTTCAGAGTCTGTGTTCCCCGAAGCTATAACCAGGGTCTTCAAGGTCCGAGTGAATAGGTTGCTTATGGATAGTCGTGCTCCATCGTAGGTCGCATCATTGCTTAACACCAGGCGTGATAGAGTCCAAATGTCCATTAAGAAAAATTTAATGTATATTATGAACGACGCGCTAAGTTTCAAATGTATAATAAAAATTATGAAAAAAAGGTCTAGCTTGCTAACATTTTTTTGAAACTGGAAAACCCCACTGCCTAATTATTTAATCTTTATATATGTATTAAAATTTCGTGTCACGTGTTTGTCCGCGATGGACTCCTAAACTACTAAACCGATTTTAAATTACATTTGCATTCCGTGTGCATTTTGATCCAACTTGAAAGATAGGATAGCTTACATCTCAATTTATAGCCACAATATTATTTACCTTAGCTACAGCAACGCGTGGCTGCGTCTGCTAGTACCTAATGTTTAAATATCCGAAACTCTTATCCACAAAAGGTCGGCAACGCAGTCGTAACTCGTTTGGTGTTACGGGGCGGCGCTGATTGCTTACGAAAAGTTACAGAATAATTACTACAAGGCAAACGAGCAGACGGATTACCTGGTGGTAAGCAATCAGCGCCGCCCATAAACACCCAATACGGAGGAGTTACGAGTGCGTTGCCGACCCTTTAGGGATTAGGGATTTTTAGATTTAGGGATTGGGGAGAGGAAGGGTTGGGTCTCCAGTAACCTTAGTCACACGGCGAAACACAACGCTATGGTTGTTTCACGCCGGTTTTCTGTGAGGCCATGGTATCACTCGGTCGAGCCCACCCATTCGTGCCGAAGTAAGAATCCATTGCACAATATTAGCGACTTAAAGATATACGCTACGCCCCAGTCATGGTTACGGGTGCAAACGGGCCCCGGAGCAGGAGAAGGAACGGGGTAGTTTTAAGTCAGTAAGAGTCTGACACTCCCTTTCGAGAGCTGGAGCAGTAGAAGCCATTAAATTCCACATCAAAATAACCTTTCATTTGATACCACTTGAGCATATTTGCAGACATTCGCTTTTTCTTCCCCACTTTAACCCCCCATAATTTTTTAAAGGCTCAATCGATTTTCATCAAACATGTCTAAGAACAGTCGCCCGTAAAACACCTGTAATATAAAAAAAAACTAAATTAAAATCGGTTCATTCGTTCAGGAGCTATGATGCCACAGACAGACAGACACGTCAAACTTATAACAACCCTCTTTTTACCCGACTGCCAAAGAAGGAGGGTAATGTTTTTCGAGTGTATGTAAGTATGTATGTATGTCTGTTCCTTTGTGACCTCCTGTAGCCTAAACGGCTTGATGGATTTTGATGTATGAGGTATCGTTAGATTTGTCTTGATTACGGGAGTGTCATAGGATACATTTTATCCTAAAAGTCCCACGGGATAAAGACATAATAATATTTTTTCTAAATTTCCCTTTAAAAAAATATGTATGCGGTATCATTAGATTCATTTCAATCACGGGAGTAATTAATATAGGATACGTTTTTTCTCAAAATTCCCACGGGAACATGTTAATTCTGCGTCAACGCAAAGCAACTCATGCGTTAGCAAGCAAAAAGATAGGGCGTGGCCTGGCATGCGGCGCGCGGCGCGGTGCGGAGGGGGATATGCTCGAGTATACAGCCCGAATGCGGGCACACGCATAAGGGCACACGTCGTTGATGCCAAATGTCGTCGAAATAATTTAAAATGGTACTTACATATATACATAGTCTTCTACATCTACAACATTTTCGTTAAATAAAAACAGCTAAAAAGTTATAAATAAAAAAAATATTATTAAAAAAACAAAATACCCGACTGCACACTAAAAAAAGAGTAAAACAAGCCCCACAATACAAATTTACTGAATATAATTTATAAATGTTGATGGAAAGCATCGCAGGCGGGGACCACCTTGACCGCCACCAACGAAAATTCTGCTAAATGGTGCACAACAGAAATGACTATAAATAAGCCTCTGTTGGTCCCCGCCTGCGATGCTTTCCATCAACATTTATAAATTATATTCAGTAAATTTGTATTGTGGGGCTTGTTTTACTCTTTTTTTAGTGTGCAGTCGGGTATTTTGTTTTTTTAATAATATTTTTTTTATTGCGTCGGTGGTTAAAAAGACCTTCGCTAAGCTAGAATCAACATCACATTTTGTGGGTATTAGCACTACATAGTATAAAACAATGTCGCTTTCTCTGTCCCTATATCCCTATGTTTACTATAATCTTTAAAACTACATAACGGATTTTGATGCGGTTTTTTTAATAGACAGAGTGTTTGAAGAGGAATGTTTATATGTATATTAACATTCATTAAATAGTGGAGAAAATAAGTATCAACAATCAACATTCCACCCGCGCGACACCGGGGCGGGTCGCAAAACAAATGAAAAACAATGAAACTTTATGACATTTTATAAATTCATCCCTTAATTACTTTTTTTTATTATTTAATAGGTCGGCAAACGAGCATACGGATTACCTGATGGTAAGCAATCAGCGCCGCCCATTAACACTCGCAACGGAGGAGTTACGAGTGCGTTGCCGACCTTTTAGGGATTAGGGATTTGGAGATTTAGGGATTTAGGAGGGATTGGGGGAGGGGAAGGATTGGGCCTCCGGTAACCCCATTCACACGGCGAAACACAACGCTGTGGTTATTTCACGTCGGTTTTCTGTGAGGCCGTGGTATCACTCCGGTCGAGCCGACCCATTCGTGCCGAAGCATGGCTCTCCCACACTTAAATTTACACAAAGTTTACTTATATTTATACAAAGTTTAGTAATATTGTATGTGTATGTATAAGGAAAACGTCTGCAACCAGTTTTTTTTATATTTATTTAGTTCTGTACCTACGTCCCGCGGTCAAGCTGTGAAGTAATATTTGTATTCTTAGCTTACGTTACATGAAAATACGTCATAGGTGAATAAGTGTTAAATAATGAGCTGCTGCTGGTTTGCAATTATAATTCTATTTAAGATTGAAAAACAATACATTTCTTTGAATTTTATATGAAATTAGTAAATTAAGACGTTATAATTTAATAATTATTTTTCTTAAATTAACTGTAAACATATTAACCAAGTTTAAAATTAAATATATTGATATATAGTAGGTCAGCAATGGAACAGAAGGATTCCCTGATGGTAAGCAATCATGACAGAGAAACCCGCAACATCGATGAGTTACGAATGCGTTGCCGGTTTTTTGGGGCCTTATGAGATTAGTTAAGGGTTTGGAATCTGAAGATTAAGGGACTTGGGGATGGGGATTAAAAAGAAAGGTTATCGGAGACCCAGCTCCGATAACCTCACCAACACCACGAAACATAATGCAAGTGTTGTTTCACGCTGGTATTCTGTGAGGCCGTGGTATCACTCCGGTCGGGCTGACCCACTCGTACAGAAGCTTGGCTCACTTACACTTAGAATTTGATTCTCTCATTGTAGTCCTACTCCTTATAATAGGATTATTTTGATACATAAAGTTTCTTGACACTCCAATCAAGACTATTATCATGCAATTTGGAAAATCTGTTAACAATAAGGCCTCTTTATTTTTGTATTGAATAAGCATTGTTTTATGTAGGTAAACAAAATCATGATCTAATGTCGTACCAATTCGGAAATGAATTCACACCGCTATTAAAGAATCCTACTTACTAATATCCTACTATCTTACTATATTCTATTAATAGATTGCGACTTCCTGCAGATTTTTGGTATAAAAACTATCCTATGTCCTTTCTCGAGTTCCAAACTATGTCTGCACCAAATTTCACAGAAATCGGTTCGGTGGTTTAGGCGTGAAGACAGACAGATAGACAGAGTTACTTTCGCATTTGTTTTGTTTAGTTTGGATTATTGTGAAAGTTTGTAAGAATGTACGTTTGTTATTGTTTCTTGATCAATTTAGTTGAAATATAGTTATGTAGTAGATAGGTGATACTGTGGATAACCACATAGGCTACTTTTTATCATTTAATCAATGAAAAAATCAATTAATTTTTGTTAATAGGCCATAAAACAGCACTTTTACACGTTATTTTGACGTCCACTATCAACATACAACTATACAAAGTTATCAATACGTAAATAAAATTTAAATTGCCTTGACTTGGCCGTGTGTGCAACCGAACATGGCGTTTTAATTTGTATTTCCGGATCGTTTAAAATGTTATTGAGTATTATTCAATTTTTCCGAAAACAAAAATTGTTATAACCAACAGAGATAAAAACAGTAGGTATGTTCACACAGATATTTTACTCAAATATTGACATCAGTACTGGAATCAGACTAAAAGCGGTTATTACAATTTAATACAATTAAAATTCCGTGAATAAACGTGAATGAATGTATGTTAATATTAAAACTAGCTTCCGCTTCGCACGTGTATAAAAGTAATTCATCCGAGGATTTTAAAAACATCAGTGTTTAAAGTGATAGCTCGACTGAAATACGCAATGTAGTATAATTTACAGCCTACCATTAATAGCACTCATGAACATTTTAGCTATCTATCAGTGAAAGAATTTTGGAGCGCCGACCAACGGTTTCAAAGATTTGGTACCCCCTACAAACAAACTTACAAATATTACCTCTTTATCATAATATAAGGTAAATTAAAGCTCACGAGAATCGAAAAAATAGGACAATATTTGTATAAAAATATTTGTCAATAAAAATTCTACCTTCATTTTGGGCTGATTTTTCAATGGCTAGATAAAAGTTACCTGGGGAATAATTATGATGTTGTCGCGTCACAGTGTTCGTATAAGACAGTGACAGCAACAATTTAATTCGTCAGATAACATTTATCTGATTCTTAAAAATCAGCCCTTAGTGTAATGTAACAATAAGCTCAAAAACGAAGCGATCAGAAACTTGACTTCAATAGAATTCTCGGTCATGCGCACAGCCTTGCAGAACCGGCTATTTTTCTTAGCATGACGTAAGCTTAGTATGTTAATTTATATTATTAAAAGCCAATCTTGGATAAAGTGTCAGTCGCTCAAACGTCTTTGAGATGTCAACTCGTGCAATCAAATCATAGCAAATTAACTTTAAAATAAGTAATAATTTAATATTTAGAAATAAGAAAATAACCTTAAATTATTAATTTTAGACTAGACATTAGTGGTTTTTAAAACTTGTGCTGTGATATTTTTGTAATAAGTAAGGTAAGTTGTTTTTTTATGTTTACGATGTTTTCGTGTTAGTCAGTGTTTTAATATGACTTTGATTAGCCGTAGGATCATTATATAGTTTGTGGTCAAATCAAGATTCTAGTTTTTCAATGTTTTTTGCTTTATTACAACGAAATTAGTTAGTTTTTTTGCGTACAAAGTAGGTAGGTAGGTAGGTAGACTTAAAAAGAGATTGTTCGTTGAATCCTAGTTTTTTTTACAAGTTTTTAAAGTATCGGATTGATTTCAAAACATGTTTGTAATTGTAATTATAAAATTTAATGTTTATTATATCAATTACACGTTCAATACTAAATGAAATATAGATTTTGAAAGGTTCTATTCGTATTTTTTTTTTGTCTGTGTAGGTAGAATGATAAAAGTATTAAGTTTTTTTGTAAAAAATGAGGCTTTTCGCTGTAGTTATTAACGATTTTTTAGTTATTTTAAGCCCAATGAAAGGGGTATATCCATATAATTCTTAATTTTTATTTATGGCAATCAAATGAACCCCCGCACACCAAAGGAGTTACGAGTGCGTTGCCGGCCTTTTGGGGATAGGGGTTGCGAATATAAGGATCTGGAAGGGATAGGGGAAGGGGCGGGATTGGGCCTCCGGTAACCTCACTCACACGGCGAAACACAACGCTGTGGTTATTTCACACTACTGCGTGTTGCAAGCTGTGTGATATGTAGTAGTGCTAGGGAGGTGTAGAGGAGCGCTTTTTATTGTGAAGGGAAAATCATCAAATGACTTCTCCCGCCAGGGTAGGGAGTGTCAGACTCTTACTGACTAAAAAACCCCCCGTTCCTTCTCCTGCTCTGGGCCGAGGTCGCGGTGCGTCATTGCGCTTACCCCGCAACCCCGTCTGGTGTAGGGAAGTGTTGAGAGAGGACTTTCCGAATCTGGTTTTTCGAGAAATGGAAATTACGGTATTAGTGTGTACCTACGTAAGAAATTGAAGGTAAAAGTGAATCTATACTAGTATTATAAAGAGGTAAAAAATGTAAGTTTGTATGTAGGGGGTAATCTTTGGAACCGCTGGTCGGATTTCCAAAATTCTTTCACTGAAAGATAGCTACAATGATCCTGAGTGCTAGACGATACAACATCATGCTACGATTAAATAGAGCCGAGCAGCGGGTGAAACCGCGCGAGAGTAGCTAGTAAGGTTTAAAATGAAGGATTTTACGTAGGTAGGTATTCCCCAGCTAATTATTATTACTTAGATATTATTATTGATTATAAAAGTTGGTTGTCTTTTTTGATCTTCCAATGGAGAGCCATTTTTGCTTTTTTTGTTACAGTGTGTGATAGGATGGCGTGGCAAACGAGCACAAGGATTACCTGATGGTAAGCAATCAGTGCCGCCCATGGACTACAGAAGAATTAGGTACGGCGTTGCCGACCTTTTGGGGATTAGGGGTTAGGAGATTTAGGGATTAGGGGAGATTACTCACTCACACGGCGAAACACAACGCTTTGGTGTGGCCACCTTATAAGAGCGTATTTTAAAGCGATCAATTCGCCCACCCAACCCCCAATCCATAATATCCTCACCCCTCAAAAGCCCGGCGCCGAATTATTATTAGTTACCAACTCCTCTAGGTAGTCACAGATTATAGAACTAATAAATCTGTGTACCAAGCTAGTGTTGTGGAGTGTCTAAGGATTGCTTACCATCAGGTAATCCATTTGCTGACCTGTGCCATGATAGTCATGATAAAATGTCTTGTTTTATTTTTGCGAATTTCGTGAACTTGTAGGTAGCTTGGATGTAGTAGGTTCCTTTTTTTTGTGAGGGGAAAATCATCAATGACTTCTTCCGCTCAGGGGCGGGCGTGTCAGACTCTTACTGACTAAAAAACCCCCTGTTCCTTCTCCTGCTCTGGGCGGAGATCGTGGTGCATTAACTTAAACTTATTTATTTGAAAGGTTATAATTATAATGTTATACATTATCCAGTAGTAGGTACCTATACTAACTTTTAAACTTTCGCGTTTCATCTTAACAACATTATATTTACGCGGGTATTAACGCGGTATTCAACCAACTACCAAGGTATTCAAATTATAATTTTCCGCGTTAATACCCGCGTAAATATAATGTTGTTAAGTAGGTACCTATACCTATTTTAAAGGTTACTTATAAGGTTATGAGTTAGGTATACATCTTTTTAATATGTTTTTACTTTATATTAGAACGAAATATTCGTTTATTTTTTTTTCTTACAATGTAGGTAGACTTAAGCAATGTGATCGAGTTTCTAGTTCTTTACAAGATTCTTTAAGTGATTGATTTGAAAACAAACTAAATAAATACCTGTACCTATGGGTAGATATTTAATTTTTTTTTTAATAAAAGACATTGCCCCTCACTAGGATTTTCTCCTGTGTCGTGGGTGCGGTTACAAACATACAATTTCACATATACATGACACCCAGACTCACGGAACAACAATTTGTGGATCACACAAAGAGTTGTTCTGTGAGGGAATCGAACCCGCGACACGTTGCACGGCAGCCAGTTGCCCAGCCACCGCACCAACCGTGCAGTCAATTTTGAAGGTTATTAAGTTATAGATCGTCTACCATAAAGTTCTGGAGGTCATTCTGAACAAGACACGTGGTTTAAAACGTGACACTTATGTTTATTTAGTGTTGTCCTACCTACAGATAATAATAAAAATGGCGATCTTTTTGCGGACATTTGGATGTTTTTTTATGCTATACGAGCAGACGGATTACCTGATGGTAAGCAATCGGCACCGTCAAAGGACACCCGCAACATCAAAGGAGTTATGAGTGCGTTGCCGGGCTTTTGGGGATAAGTGTTTTGGATGTTTTAGGATTGGGAAGAAGGGTAGGGATTGGGCCTTCAGTAACCTCACTCACACGGCGAAACACAACGCTGTGGTTGTTTCACGCCGGTTTTCTGTGAGGCCGTGGTATCACTCCGGTCGAGCCGAAGCCGGTTACTCTCTCACGTAAACTCTACTGAACGGATCTGAATGTAATTAGGCACAGAGATAGATTATAGTCTGGAATAACATACAGGCTTTTTTAAGTCTGATAACTCAAGTAAATTCGCTGGCAGAAGCTTTTAATTACAAAATAAAATAATTTTTAAATTGAGGGTAATCAATGTAGGTTAGCTTTTTGAAAATTTTACGCTTGTATTTATTTTATATTGAACTAGCTCGGTCCCGCGGATTTTTGCGCATAATAAAAGTAGGTAGGTAATGTATCCCACGATTTTAAAAACAGCAGCTTTTAAAGCGATAGGTCGACTAAAATACGCAAATCCAGAGTATCTATTTGTAAGTTTTGTATGTAGGGAGTAATATTTGGAACCGCTGGTCGGAATACAATATTCTTTCACTGATATATACCTAGCTACAATGTTCTATACGCTATAAAACATGAACAGCGGGTGAAACCACGTGAGAGTAGCTAGTCAAGTATAATTTATAGCCTATAGCACTCGGGAACATTGTAGCTATCATCATCAATGAAAGAATTTTGGAAATTAGACCAGTCGTTCCAACGATTACCCTACCTTAGGCTGGTACTTTTACCTAATTATAATATTAGTATAGATTTTTCATTCTACCGTATAATTTAAAAACAATAGATGTTTGAACCAGTTTGAACAATACGATTCGATATTTTATCTTTGGTTTTCCAATTAAAGAGATAAGATAAGTGTGTCGTGGTGGCCCGGAGGTTAAGGCGCCCGCTTCTCATGCATGAGGGTGTGGGTTCGAAACCTGGCAAGTACCAATGTGATTTTTTCCGAGTTATATGTACTTTCTACGATTATTTAGACACCACTGACATACGGTGAAGGTAAACATCGTGAGGAAACCTGGACTTATAATTTCTAATTATAAGTTTGAAATCGCCAACCCGCATTGAGCAAGCGTGGTGATTAATGCTCTAACCTTCTCAGTATGAAAAGAGGCCTTTGCTCAGCAGTGGGCATTTATAAGCTGATGATGATGATGATGAGGTAAGATAAGGGTCTTTAGGCACCCAAGCGTAGCGTTACGCGCGCCTCAAACAGCCAACAGAAAACCACAGACGGGGCCCTATAGGGCTGATGTTCAGCCGGGGATTGCGGGGTAAGCGCAATGAGGCACTACGACCTCGGCCCAGCGCAGGAGAAGGACTGGGGGGGTTTTTGTCAGTCTGACACTACTTCTCGCTCCATCCTGGATTCCTGGCCAAGGGAAGTCATTTGATAATTATACCCCTCAAAAAGAAGCGTATATAGGTTACTTATTTAAAAATATTACACAATATTTTCTTACATATAAAAATTAAACGCAAAATGTGTTGGTAAGCGCATAACTCAACAACGCCTGGACCAATTTTGCTAATTCTTTTTTTGTTGTGTTTGTTATTGTCAGAAGAAGGTTCTTATCAAAAAAAATATTAGAAAAGTAGAGGGGAAGATTAGGAAAAAGTGACTCTTTGATTGCGAGACGCTAGGTTACTATAAATACCCGTATTTATAGTAAATATTGTGTAATATTAAGCAACGAACTTGTAACTAGCCGATTGTTTACAATCAGCACAATCAGCTGATCCGTCTACTAGTTACCTCTGGTTGTCGGGTTTAATTTACTAACACCCGGTTTCTGAAAGGCTTGTCAACGCTAAAATTAACTAATCTCCTGTTAAATCTCTTGTCAAGTCATCTGATTGGTTGTTGATAATTCCGTCAACCAATCAGATAAGGTTTTGTTTCACAGAAAACAAATAGGAAAATATTATAAACAATACAATAGTTTTATAGGCTTGGCGTGATGTGACCTTTGTATTATTAGCAAAATGGCTATGGCGTCACCGTGAGTTGGTTCGGACAATAAAAAAAAACAATATCGCATCGTTGTGTAGAACAATAATTATAGTTCTATGTATCATTATTTAATGACCATCTATTTAAAAAAAAATACTAGTTCGTCAGCGGTTTCTAGTGAAGCTATTTGCTCGTTCCAAAGTGTAGATTCCTATGGAGAAGGATGAGCAAGAAATTCACTACATAGTATAAAACAAAGTCGCTCCTATGCACCTACGCTTAAATCTTTAAAACTACGCAACGTATTTTTGATACGGTTTTTTAATAGACAGAGTGATTGAAGAGGAAGGTTTATATGTATAACTAGCTATTCTCGCGCGGTTTCACCCGCTGCTCGGCTCCATTTAATCGTAGCGTGATGTTTTATAGCCTAAAGCACTCAGGAACATTGTAGCTATCTATCAGTGAAAAATTTGGCAATCCAAATATCGGTTCTAAAGATTAACTACCCTACATACAAACTTACAAATTTTACCTCTTTTATAATATTAGTATAGATAACATCCATTTAATAGTGGAGTAATTTAGTATCAACATTGTACTTGCTCGCGCGGGTCGTTAGTCGGTGGATAAATATACAGTAAACCTTCAATATTTCCGTGAAAACAATGACACAGTAAGGCAAACACAATTGATACGAGAGACCCTACAGTTTCTCTGTAGGGTAGAATACATGTAAAACCAAAAGAGTTGTGAGTGCGTTGCCGACCGCACGGGTAGCGCACCGCCCGACCAGAACCAGCCCCGAGTGTACGGCGCGTAGCGTTCCGCGCGCGCCTTAAAGACACAATAGACCACCATAGACGGGGCCCTATATATAGGGCTGATGCTCAGCCGGGGTTGCGGGGTAAGCGCAATGAGGCACCGCGACCTCGGCCCAGAGCCGGAGAAGGAACAGGGGGGTTTTTAGCCAGTAAGAGTCTGACACTCCCTCCCTCCAGCCCGCCCCTGGGTGGGAGAAGTCATTTGATGATTTTCCCCTCACAAAAAAACACGTTAAACTATTTACCTGTCTATATATAGATATTGACGTTTTTAAATCTGAGGTCGTACAAGTTACATCTGAACCGGTTTTTATACAAATAATAACTTATATTCTAATGTTCTTGTCATTCAAGAACTCGATCCTAATCTGTTGTTACTGGATACTGGTTTACCAGTTTTCCTTTTATGGCGAAAACTCATCATATGGAACACCGGCGTGAAATAACTACAGCGTTGTGTTTCGCCGTGTGAGTGAAGTCACTGGAGGCCCAATCCTTCCCCTCCCCCAATCCCTAAATCTCGAAATCCCTAATCCCTAAAAGGTCGGCAACGCACTCGTAACTCCTCCGTTGTGGGTGTCCATGGGCGGCGCAGATTGCTTACCATCAGGTTATCTGTCTGCTCGTTTGCCAACCTAAAACATAAAAAATAAGGCTTCTTATGCCTAGGGTATGGCGATAGGGAGTGTCAGACTTTTACTGACTAAAAACCATCCCATTCCATGCCCCACAACCCCGGCTGAATATCAGCCCTATAGGGCCCCGTCTGTGGTGGTCTATTGGCTCTTTGAGGCGCGCGCGGAACGCTACGCGCCGTACGCTCGGGCCTGGTTCTGGTCGGGCGGCGAGCTGCCCTTACTCGCCGACCGCAGACCCGTGCTTACGGTGGCCGGAGAAATATTTTTAAGTGTGAGCAGAACCTGGCAGTGTATTAGACCGATAGATTTCTTCACAATATACATATTATAATTACGGGGTTAAAATACCTTGGTAGGCTTGACGTTTCGACCTGGTTGCACAGGTCGTGGTCGCAAGTAGACTGAACATGCGATGTCACAGCTCCCTGCACTGCTGAGTACCCCCTTATTTTCTGCCTTTCACGCAAATAACCAAAGAGTTGTGTTTCGCCATGTGAATGAGGTTACCGGAGGCCCAATCCTTCCCCTAACCCAATCCGGTCCCTTTCCCAAAATCTCCAAATCCCAAATCCCTAAAGGTCGACAACGCACTCGTAACTCCTCTGTGGCGGCGCTGATTGCTTACCATCAGGTAATCCGTCTGCTCGTTTGCCGACTAATGGCATAAAAAAAAGACGTAAGGATGGATTATTTAATTAAAAAATAGCACTATAGCGAAATAACTTTCAGCTATGAGTGTCCGTGTTTGGGGGAAGTACAGAATGGAGGTGTGATTAAAAAAAACTCGTTTGTCGAGATATCATCATAAAGTCTACAAAACTCTGAATTCTGACGTGTTTTTTCTAAGTGTGTAAGAGCCATGCTTCGGCACGAATGGGTCGGCTCGACCGGAGTGATACCACGGCCTCACAGAAAACCGGCGTGAAACAGCCATAGAGTTGTTTCGTCGGGGAGTGAGGTTACCTGAGACTCTTCTTCCTCTCCCCCAATCCCCAATCCCTAAATCTACAAAATTTGAATTCCTAAAAAGTCGGCAACGCCCTCGTAACTTCTCTGGTGTTGCGAGTGGGTAAGGGCGGCACCGACTGCTTACCATCAAGTAATTCGTCTGCTCGTTTGTCTACCTATCACTTAAAAAAAATATTAATTGAACAACGCTGTGGTTGTTTCTTGTCGGTTTTCAGTGAGGCCGTGGTATCGCTCCGGTCGAGCCGACCCATTCGTGCCGAAGCATGACTCACCCACACTTGTGCTTCTATTGATTTGTTATCACTCACAACCTGTCTGTGAATAGAGTAAGAAAGAGAAAGAAAGCTGACTTTAATGATTTGATTACAAACATCGATTTTTCAATAATCTCCAAGCTTGTTAGACGGGCTGACGGGGAGATTTCGGAGCTGTTTAAGCTCATCACATAATTTATTTAATAACTACCTTCCACCCGTGGCTTCGCCCGCGTGGTATGTTAATAAAAGATAGCTTATGTCCAAAGTTCGTCCAGATCTCTCCAGCTATTTTGGCGTGATTGAGTTACAAACATCCAAACATAGTAACTTTCGCATTTATAATATTAGTTAGATAGTAAGATAGGATTTAAGAGCGAGGCCTTTGTCCATCAGTGGACGTCTTCCGGCTGATGATGATGAAGATAAGAATTTGACTGCACGGTTGGCGCGGTGACTGGGCAACTAGCTGCCGTGCAACGTGTCGCGGCTTCGATTCCCGCACGGAACAACTCTTTGTGTGATCCACAAATTGTTGTTCCGGGTCTGGGTGTGATGTGTATGTGAAATTGTATGTTTGTAAACGCATCCACGACACATGAGACAATCCTAGTGTAGGGCAATGTTTATTCAAATAAAAAAAAAAGATAAATTTCCCTCCTCTTTCTTTTCAGATACAATGCGTTACCTCCTGTTAGCAGTGTGCCTAGGGCTGGCCTGTGCCCAGTCCACGATCGACCCATCGGTGCTTGAGGGTATCTTTGGAACTCCACCGACCCCAAAACCTGTTGGTCCCACTACACCACGTTTCGAAGACGTAAGAAATCTTTTTTTCATTTTTCATTTTCATTTTAAATAATAGTTTTTTTCCAACCCAGTAATGGTCAAAGAGGGATGGTATAATTTTATATTATAGCTCCATTCCTCCACGTCATGGTAGGTCCTCAGTAGTCCTCGCGCCCGCGAGAAGTGATCTCCGGCCACCGTAAGCGCGGGTCTGCGGACGGCGAGTAAGGGTAGCTCGCCGCCCGACCAGAACCAGGCCCGAGCATACGGCGCGTAGCGTTTCGCGCGCCTCAAAGAGCCAATAGACCATCACAGACGGGGCCCTATAGGGATGATTTTCAACCGGGGTTGCAGGGTAAGCGCAATGAGGCATCGCGGCCTTGGCCCAGAGCAGGAGAAGGAACAGGGGGTTTTTTAGTCAGTAAGAGACTGACACTCTCTCGCCTTACCTTGGGCGGGAGAAGTCGTTGGAAGATTTTCCCCTGACAAAAAAGGCGTGCTCCATCGTAGGTCGCATCATCGCTTACCATCAGGCGTAATAGCGGCCGAATGCCTGCCCATTTCTAAATAAAAATAAATATACCTATTATATGTTTTGAGCTCAGCGCGGTAAAGAAACAACTCGAGGGAGACTGGGCCTTCCCTCCACACCAGTTGACAATTCACTTCTGATCGAAGTCTTTGGCACTCCACCTTCCACTTCAGCAGGAGAAGGATACGAATCCGTGAGTGCGAAGAAATCTGGGTAGCTCTGCATGGAATATATTGCGTAGTTCGTACATGCTATTTTAGTGCATATTCCTAAGCGACAAATAGTGGTAATTGCGTGAAGTCATTTGGATGTCACAGGGCCGCATTCGAGCTTATGGGCCCCCGAAATAAAAAATATGTTTTGGGATGCATCATTGATTTTTATTGTTAATTTTGTGTCATTGTCATTATGGGTCATTAAAATATCTAGCTTTGTTTTGTTCCACAGATACGATATTTTTAACACGCTGACATTTTTTTTGGAAAAAAGAAAAAAAAAACTTGGAGTTTTTGGGTGGTTTCCTAGGTCAAAAATTATTAATTATTTTGACTATTCAGTAGGTGTCTACAATAAATTATTAAAATATAATCATAGGGACTTTCGTTCATAGTGTTCATATTTGAATAGAGATTATATTTTATGTATTTTCCTAGCATTTTTTTCCGAAGTAAGTATATTTGCCATCACAGCATTATGACATCATAAGTACCTAGTGTGTAGTATTGAGTATTGAGTATACCTATGTTGCGAGTTCATACAAAATTCATAGAAAAGTGTCGTTTTTGACATTTCAATTGAATTTTAATTTGACTAGTTGTAAACCATCTTTGCAATGACTGCACGGCTGCCGCGTAGCGTGTCGCGTCGGATTCCCGCACGGAACAACTCTTTGTGTGATCCACAAATTGTTGTTCCGGGTCTGGTTGTGATGTGTATGTGACATTGTATGTTTGTAAACGCACCCACGACACAGGAGAAAATCCGAGATCGGAACAAAGTTTTTTAGAAAAACAAAAAAGAAAAAACTGCCAGAGTATCCCAAAATTAGATTTTTCAAATTCGTAGTTTTGATATCATATCCTTAGTGCAGCACTTGTAACCGTAGGCTTCGATATCAAATCGATAGGCTAAAGTATGTTAGACAGCTTCTGCATGAAAAAAGGGGAATTATTTTCGTAATTTGCATGTCATATTTCCAAAGAATTATATAGTTATACATATATATACCTAAGGTTTTTAGTGTGAATCGTATATTAATGCAATTAGTCCCAGCTTCGCACGGTTAAAATTACATAGAATTATACAATTTTCCTTATACATTATAATAATGTAACAGAAAGAAAGAAAAAGTATTTATTCGTGTCTAGGACGCAAATAAAACACAGAACAAACAAGTGTTTAAACACAAAAACAAAAAAAAAACATGGTAATACAATATAAAAAAAGGGTAATATAAGTAAAAATGTGCGTCACAAGCACGCGAAATGGCCCTCGCTCAGCATATGCAGCGACACTATGCGAGACAGTGTCGCAGAGTGACGCTTCGGCGATGGCCGACAACTAACAACTTAAAGGTAACAGAGTGTAGGTAGTACCTACCTACTGTAGGTACTTATTTCTGAAGTTAGAAAACATTTTTTTACACATACCAGCATTATCTCCGAAACCCTAATCTGTATTACGAGTGCGTTGCCGACCTTTTGGGAGATTTACGGATTGAGGGACGGCAAAGATTGGGCCTCCAGTAACCTCACTCACATGGCGAAACACAACGCTGTGATCGTTTCACTCCGGTTTTTTGTGAGGCCGTGGTATCATCACTCCGGTCGAGAATAATCCTCTCGAGAATAAACTCCGGTAATTAATTACCGTCTTTTTGGGGATAGGGGGTTTCTTCGCTCACATGGCGAAACAACTTAAATTAACAAGTCCATAATTACACATTGTATTGTACACCTATAAATATTAAGCTATCTTAGCTCGGTAAAACGTGAATATGAACTTTAAAACAAGGTCCTTTGAATTTCTAAGTAATACAAATACTTCTAGGGTTCTTCATACCCAATTAATAATGGTAATGCAAAAGTATTAATTATTAGTCATTTAGTATTAATACTTATATGTCAATAGGTCCAACCTCTGAAGGATTTTTGCCTTATCTGACCACTGTCCAAGTTCACGAGTTCAAATCCAAGGTCAATCATCGACTGCACGATTGGTGCGGTGGCTGGGCAACTGGCTGCCGTGCAACGTGTCGCGTGTTCGATGCCCGCACTGAAAAACAGTTATTGTGATCCACAAATTGTTGTTTCGGGTCTGGGTGTGATGTGCATATGAAATTGTATGTTTGTAAACGCGCCCACGATATAGGAGAAAATCCTAGTGTGGGCTACGTTTTATATATGTCGGCATCGGGCACGTTTCCGGAACGCCAGCGCCACCTAGCGGTGGGGCTCGACGGAGTCTATGCTGCGCGCGCTATTATACGGCTAGTCTATGCTCGACCGACGCCAAGACGACAAAGCGCGCGCGTAGAAACTGTCTCGCGTTCTGGAAGCCATTTTGTGAACTAATTATTGTTAATATACAGTGATTTCGTGGATTTCCGTTTTGCTCATTTAACCGACTCACCCAACGATCGCCCACAGCGTATTCAGACAATGGAAAATGTCGATGAAAACCAATTTATGTCGTCATATAAAAACAAAAAAATCATCGTGCCTGTCTAAGCATGTAATCGATTCCAAAGCTACTCGAAAACCGTATTTTTTTGTTTACCAAAGTTTGTAGCTGATCGCTCAATAGATGGCGTGGGGATCGAATTACATCGCGCTATGGTTTCTATTGGAGTGTCCCGGTTCGTTCGGACTTTGTTGAATTTGAATTTTCAAAATTCTAATTGTCATAATATTTTCCATGCGTTGCGAACATCAAGTTTAGTTAATAATAATTATCAACGTACATACTGCTTTACGAAATAACTCGAAAGGTTTAAAGCAGCGACCAGGTGATTCTGTAAGACTTCATTTTAAACTTCGAATCTGAATCCGCTGTGAGTAGTAGTACACTAGCGCTACACTTGCGAGTTGAACTAAATTGACAGCAACATTTTGATAGGTAAAGTATGAGATGACGTTAAAAGTGGCATTCTAAAATTTAATTACCTACCTCGTTACTTCGACTCTCATTTCGCACTCGAACAAGATTCAAAATCAAACAAATTTTATAGAATCGACGTGCAGGTCTCATATTTATAACAAGCTATGCATGTAATTAGACCGCTTTGAAATAGTTTTAGAATAAAAAAATAAGCACGGAGCTCGTTCAAGACTCAAGGGGACATAAAGGGATTGATTTTAAGTTATTCATTTATAATTAATTTCTTTTTTAGATCACAGTGAAACCGACTGAAGGGACATCCACGTTTACCGACAAAAATGGCGAAGTTTGTCAGTGTGTGCCATACTATCTATGTGACTCAAACAACGTAGGTGTAGATGTTAACAACGCTTCGGTTACCGGCTGGGGCACTTTAGATATCAGGTGAGAATAAGACTAGAAATTAAGTTTGAAAGAGCCATGATCTGGATGTGATGTGTATGCGAAATTGTATGTTTGTAAACGCATCCACGACACAGGATCCAGGCCCGAGCGTACGGCGCGTAGCGGTCCGCGCGTGCCTCAAAGAGCCAATAGACCACCACAGACGGGGCCCTATAGGTCTGATGTTCAGCCGGGGTGGAGGGGTAAGCGCAATGAGGCACCGCAACCCCGGCCCAGAGTAGGAGAAGGAGAAGTTTTTAGTCAGTAAGAATCTGACACTTCCTCTCGCCCGGCCCTGGGCGGGAGACGTCATTAGATGATTTTCCCCTCACAAAAAAAAAATCCACGACACAGGATAAAATCCTAGTGAAGGGCAATGTTAAAATAAAAAAAAATATATCACCGCTTCATGGTGCATTTCCCAGCTTCACGCACGAAGCTTTTACATGTCCCGGGAATAAACAGTTTTAGAGATATGATTTAGAATGACGTCATACAGCTTAGCATTTATTGTAATTGAAACTAAACGTGTATACAGAATAACAGCTCAATCGCTTCTACTTTACAAATCTATATTTCTATACTTACTATATTAATATAATAAAGCTGTGTACAGTTTCTTTGTCTGAACGCGCTAATCTCTGGAACTACTGTTTTTTTTTACTTGCAATAAACTAGTGCTTGACTGCGATCCCATCTGATGGTAAGCAGTGATGCAATCGTTGATGGTAAGGCGCACTAGTTTATTAAGAGCTATTCACTCTAGCCTTGAAGACACCTAAATTGTATTCGGACGGAAAGACTGCAGCCGGCAAACTGTTCCAATCCCTCGATGTACCTACGCGGTATAAATGACGAGGCAAAACGCTTAGTCCGGGCCGCAGGTGTCTCAACAACGTACGGGTGGATATTCGCCGTACGGGTGGATGTCGCCGGGTTAGAATTGAACAATTCTTTTAATGTTTGTTAGTCCATTTATTGAGTAAGGCTATCCAAACTAATGTTACAAATGCGAAAGTACCTAACTCTGTCTGTCTGTCTTTTCTTCACGCTTAAACTACAGAACCGATTTATGTGAAATTTGGTACAGACATAGTTTGGAACTCGAGAAAAGACATAGGATAGTTTTTATACCAAAAATCAGCTGGAAATCACTATTTCACGCGAACGGAGTCACAGGCAAAAGCTAGTAGGCTATAAAACATCGCGCTACGATCTACAGGAGCCGAGGAGCGGGTGAAACCGCACGAGAGTAGCTAGTGCCTTCTAATCATCTTATCTTCCACGAAAAAATTAGCACAAGAGTAATAATAGGGAATGTACAAAATAGTTCTTAATAAGTCCTAATTCAATTAACTAAAAATCGCGGCTTACTCACGTGTATAAATTGAGAAAAGTTCTACTTGTTTCGAACTGTTCAGTAGGGTGCGCGACGTCGCCACGTCCGTGCACGCTGCTCATGAGGAAGAACCCCTCTGTGGTTCGAAACTAGTAGAGCTTTTCTCAATTACAAACGTGAGTAACCCGTGATTTTTGGTTAATTTAGTATGTCCTACGATAGTTATTATAAAAACAAGTTCTAATTCCTTTCCCTAGGTTCGGAGATGACAATGACATAGACAGACATTGTCAGGAGAGTGTGGAGGTCTGCTGCACCATCCCCAAGGACACTTCGGAACAGCCAAAACCCAAACCTAAGCCTAAACCTCAGCCAGGGAAAGCTAGGGGATGCGGTTATAGGAACCCGAACGGTGTTGGCGGAATCACCGTTACTGGTGGAAGCGTGAGTGTCTCAAAAAATGTTATTTTTTTTAACCTTTAAGTGTAGGAGAGCCATGCTTTGCCACGACTGGGTCGGTTCGACCTGAATGATTGCACGGCCTCACAGAAAGCACTTCGTGGTGTTTCGCTGTGGGAGTGAGGTTACCAGACGCTCTTTTTCTCCCATCCTGAAGATTGAGGGTCCCTAATAGCCCACAAGAGGCCGGCAACGCACTTGTAGTAACTCCTTTGGTATTTCGAGTGCCCATTAGCGGCGCCGATTGCTTACCATCAGGTAATCCGTCTGCTCGTTTGCAGACATAATCACAAGAAAAAACCTAATAAGGTCTGTTTCAGACGCCTGCTCTTATTCATAGGTAAATAAGAGTTACATACCAATATGGCTTTTGCTGTATCATATGCACTTTCTAAAATTGCTTAGACACCACTGATATACGGTGAAGGAAAACATCGTGAGGAAACATGGACTTATAAAAAAATATTTCTAATTACAAGTTTGAAATCACCTTGAGTGAACGTGGTGGTTAATTCTTAAACCTTCTCCGTATGCGAAGAGGCGTTTGCTCAGCAGTGAGCACTTGAAGGCTGATGTCAAAGTCAAAGACAAAATCATTTATTTCAAAAGTTTGTTCGGGCGTTCAAAAGTGCCTGTAAGGGTCTAAACCCTTACAGGCACTTTTGAATGTCAAACAAAGCTTAAAGATAAAGAGTGTCAGTCTGTCAGTCAGTCCTCTAGTGAAGCTATTTGCTCGTTTCAAAGTGTAGATTCTGATGGAGAAGAAAGAGCAAGAAACTCCATGGTTACTCTTTATCAATCAGGTTCAAATAGGGATTGTTTGGTAAATTAATAAATTAATTAATATTTATTTGACTTCAAATTTCATCCACAGGGTGCTGAATCTCAATTCGGAGAGTTTCCCTGGGTGGTGGCCATCCTGGACAGGTACAACTCTTCGTATGGTGGAGTAGGAGTACTGATACATCCACAGGTGGTCATGACTGGTGCTCATATTGCTCAGAGGTGAGGATCTTTGATGTTTTACACTTAAACCTTAAGTGTGCCATGTTTCGGCACGAATAGGTCGGCTTAACCGGAGTGATATCAACGCCCTACAGAAAACCGGTTTGAAGCAAAAATTATGTTGTGTTTCACCATGTGAGTGAGGTTACCGGAATCCTAATTCTTCCCCTGCCGCCGGGGTTGCGGGGTAAGCGCAATGAGGCACCGCGACCTCGGCACAGCAGGAGAAGGAACAGGGGGTTTTTAGTCAGTAAGAGTCTGACACTCCCTCCTGCCCGGCCCTGGGCGGGAGAAGTCATTTGATGATTTTTTTTCCCCTGCCCCCATCCTCAATCACCATTCCTTAAATCCCTAATTACCCACAAGAGGCCGGCAACACAGTTGTAGGAACTCCTTTGGTATTACCAGTTTCTACAGGTGGTTCCGATTACTTACAATCATTTTATCCAACTGTTGGTTTTTTGTCATATGGATCACACAGTGTAGGCGAACCATATCCAAAGCTTTGACTGCACGGTTGGTGCGGTGGCTGGGCAACTGGCTGCCGTGCAACGTGTCGCGGGTTTGATTCCCGCACGGAACAACTCTTTGTGTGATCCACAAATTGTTGTTCCGGGTCTGCGTGTGATGTGTATGTGAAATTGTATGTTTGTAAACGCACCCACGTTACAGGAGAAAATCCTAGTATGGGGCAACGTTTTCTTTTTTTTTCAAGTCGATTTTGTGTATCTAAAAACTTTCTTTTCTCAAACTTTTCAGATATCCACCTGGAACTTTAAAGATCAGAGCTGGTGAATGGGACACGCAGACTATCAAGGAGATATTTCCATATGAAGAGAGGAACGTTCAAAACGTCATCATCCACGAGAGTAAGTACTGCATACTCTTTCTGTCGTGTCACTCAGTCAGTCATACTGGCTTGGAGGTTAAGACGCCCAGAAGTTAGCTAGGTAGAGTGGCCATATTTGATGGCTGACAGTGGCTGGGTGTAAGGAGCTGAAGACCAAGATCTACTGCCTCTGTCCAGCAGTGGACGAAAACAGATGACGATGATGTTGCTGATCAATTATACAGGGTGTAAAAAGACACTCAATGAAGCCGAAAGCCACGTATTCTATCCATTATTTGAATCATTTTTTTCTTTAAGACCATAGCTGGGACTCCACGCGTTCTCGAAATATTGAAGGTCAAATATTACAAAACTTTTCCAAACAAACATTACCTGAATTTTCGATTTTTCTAAATCAATTACGCATTTGAAGTTACGAACAGTAAACGAACAGTAATGTACGTAATAAATAAATGCAGACCCGCACAAAAAACATCCGTGCAGATCCGTCCGTAGGATTTTTATTTTACAGAATTGTTTTGTTGTTGCGAAGTAAAACGTCGACCTACGTACTTATCATAGCGTTTTAATGCTAAGCTGTGAACCTACGCACACAATGACACGAAGCCCGTTTGCTTTACATTGCGCAATAAAATTATAATTTTTTTTGATACCTAAAAATAAAAGTCGTTTCCCAGTGATAATTTTAGCGTAAAGCTACTTAGTTAGAACTGCAGTATGCGTAGTTAACGGCTTCGTTAAGTGTCTTTTTACACCCTGTATAGCATTCTGATTATACGACCACTCCTCAATTAAAGAGTAAATTTTAATTAAGTAAACTTCCTCATTCCACAGATTTCATGCCAAAAAGTTTGAAGAATGACATCGCACTGCTTTACCTGGACAGCCCCTTGCCTATATCGGAGTACATCAACGTGATCTGCATGCCAGAACAGGACGAGGTCTTCGACAGCCATAAGAACTGTGTCGCGAATGGATGGGGCAAGAGCAACTTTGGTAAGTTGAGAAGACCAGTAGATTAATAGACCATTTTGCGGTGAGTAGCCTAATAGCCGGTTGCCCTAAGTAGACCGGTTGATCTGAGTAGACTAGTAGACCAGTTGATCTGAGTAGACTAGTAGACCTAAGTAGACCAATAGACCAAAGTAGACCTCAGTAGACGAGTAGACCAAAGAAAAGTGTAGAAGAATAATTATTTGCCTGTTAGTATATTATGAGCACCATGTTATTGGGGAGAGAGATATGACACCCTCACAGAAAACCACCGTAAAACAACTACATCATTGTTTTTCGCTGTGTGAGTGAGTTTACCTTATACCCAATCCTCCCACCGTCATTCCTCCTCAATCCCAAAATCTTCGAAAGGCTGATTCCCAGGTTAAGAATTTGAGGATTATGGGGAGGGCTTAGGCCTCCGGTAACCCTACTCATCCGGTGTTGTGTTGTTTCAAGACGGTTTTCTGTGAGGACGTGGTATCACTTCACCCGAATCGACGCAGCAGTGTCGAGGACTGACTCTTCAGCTCTTAATAACATCACATATCCCATTTCCAGGTCTTCAAAACCGTTACGCCGTGATCCTGAAGAAGGTGGAACTCGACATGGTGCCTTACAGCCGCTGTCAGGCCTTGCTGAGGAGGACTAGACTCGGCCATAACTTCAAGCTGCATAACAGCTTCGTATGTGCAGGAGGAGAAGCTGGCAAGGACACGTGTCAGGTAGGATGAGATCCTTTTATTTAAATCGTGCTTTAGATTTGCAAAATTGCTTTTCTGCTTGAGCTTGTGCTGCTTTCCTGGTGATTTTCGACGGAAGATTTCTGCTGTACAAACCTTATCCAATTCCATGTTCAGGAGATCCGCGCGTATAACTTTAAGCAAAGCAAAGCCCCTAATCCCCCACCCAATCTCAAAATGTAATCCCTAAAAGTTTGGCAACACACTCGTAACTCCTCCGTCTCCGTTCTGTCCATGGGTTGGCATGGCGCTGATTGTTTTACATCAGGTAATTCGTCAGCTCGTTCGCCGACATAATTATAACATAAAAAGAATTAGAAAACCGGTACGAAACTACTTCTGAGTGAGGTCGCATCAGGCTCGATCCGCAATCCCCAAATGGGGGATTTCAAATCTCTAACCCTAAAAGACCAGCAACACATTTATGACTCTTCGAAGTTGCGGATGCTCAATGCCCAAGCCAGTTGCTTACCATGAAGTAAAAAGACTGCTCATAAAAATATTTTATTATCTTGGTTTCGTCTAATTTGGAATTTCCAAATTGTTCTTTCAATTCATGCTGATAATAGCGTTTGAGTTTCTCGCTATGGTAGAAGTTCCTTCAGTTTTCGCCAGCTAGAGTCTTCCGGACGGCTTCGCTAAACAGAACAGAGGCTCATTAATGACGAAAGAGTGGAATTTTTGTCGTAGTGTTTTTCCTAAAGGATTTTGCTTATGGGTAGGCGTGCTCCATCGTAGGTCGCATCATCCCTTACCGCCAGGCGAGACAGTGGTCAAACCAAGTGCAGTAAAGAAAAAAAGATTGAACCTGCACTGGTTTCTGATTCAGACTTTTTGATCGAATGGAATGGAAGCGCGAGAGTCGCTTTCATTCGTTCAGTGTTGCCACTGACAAGTGTTTCATAGTAATACTTCTAATATTTAGTATTTTTATTTTTTGTCTTATAGTAGGATACTAATCCAACAATTATATTATATGAAACACATTTTTGTATTTAACTTAGCTTAAGTTTCTGCACTGATTGGCGTCATGCGTTGGTGTCGGCCATCGCTGAAAATCAGCGCCGCGACACTGTCTCGTATGGGGTCGCTGCATAATGCTGAGCGTGGGCCATTTCGCGTGCTTGGACGCATATTTTTCTCCTACCCTCTACTTTTGTTATATTGTAGTATAATTCTCAATGTATTTTTATTTTTACCTTTATTTTTATTATTGTTCGTTTTGTGTCTTTTATGCGTCCCAGACGCGAATAAATACTTTTTGTTTTGTTTTTTTTTTATTCATCATATTTGTTGGGAATTGAAAATAAAGTTTCCTTAGATTGAAAAAGGAAGTATCCTCTAACAACGCCATACCATCCAGGACACAGGAAAAAATCCTAGTGTGGGGCAATGTATTTTTTTTTCAAATGCAGATAGGGCTAGTGCCCAACAAATGGGGATGGGATTTCTGTCAATTTGTAACGCCATCTGTGATTTGTCTGTCGAATTTCTTTTAAGCTTTCGCCACACTGTTTTGGAGTTCTATTACCAAATTCTAAGGGTCCAGTTCATCATCATCATCATCAGCCCATAAGTGCCCACTGCTGAGCAAAGGCCTCTTTTTACACGGAGAAGGTTTGAGCATTAATCACCACGCTTGCTCAATGCGGGTTGGCGATTTCAAACTTATAATTAGAAATTATAAGTTCAGGTTTCCTCACGATGTTTTCCTTCACCGTATGTCAGTGGTGTCTAAATAATCATAGAAAGTACATATAGCTCTGAAAAAGTCACATTTGTACTTGTCAGATTTCGAAGCCACACCCTCATGCATAAGAAGCGGGCTCCTTAAGCTTCGGGCCACCATGACATATTATAGGGTAGTAGTAGGTATAGCCTCTACGCAGAAGCCTCGTACTTACTCCTTTCCTTTCATCATCATCATCAGCCTGATTTCGTCCACACCGTTCCATTCCGTGCTGGACATAGGCCTCCCCAATTGCACGCCACTGAGCTCGATGTTCAGCTCTTCTCATCCAACCACTGCCAGCCACCCTGCGGATATCGTCAGTCCTCATAGATGGAGGGCGCCCTATATTATGTGGTCTCCACTCTAGAACACGTCTACCCCAACGTTCATTGGTTCTTCGACAGATGACAGTTCTTCGGCGCACTGCCATTTCAGTTTGCTAATCCTTTGGGGGCGTCCATAAATTACGTGAGGTGTTTAAAGGGGGGAGGGGCTCGAGTGAAATCTCATCTAATCTTACGTTGGAGAGAGGGGGTCTCGGCAAATGTCACGCAATTTTTTTTCTGATTGTAACAAAAAGTATTTACTTTTTTGGTCTATTTAATCCAGATTGTACTTGCTCAAGATTTAATCTTAAGCGTAATCGTAGTACGATTAAGATCATTTACTAATAAAAGGACGATGCAAATTTGTTTTTTTTTTCTTTTTACAATAACAATCTAACGCGTTTACGTAAGAAACTCACATTTTGAAAAATCTCACGTGAGTTTCGGGGATGAGGGAGGGGGTTGAATAAAATCTCACGGCATCTTACTAGAGGGGGAGGAGGGGCAGAAAATTTAAAAAAACACCTCACGTGATTATGGACGCCCCCTTTACAGCATTCTGAACTTTATTGACTAGTCCACACAACGTAGAAAGCCGTGAAAAAATAGCTTATTTTGATCTGCTTCGCTAATTAAGTGCTTATGCTTTCGCTTTATAAAGGAATTGCTATCTGTGACCACTATTTAATTTTTTTTAAAGTAAATATAAAATGTTTTTGCACAGGGCGACGGTGGCGCTCCTCTAGGATGTCCTGTTGGGAATAACAGATACAAGCTGACTGGTCTAGTAGCCTGGGGCATAGGCTGTGGACAACAGGATGTCCCAGCAGTATACACAAATGTGCCACTATTTAGTTACTGGGTTGATGAGAAAATGGCTCAATGGGGACTCGAAACGACGTCCTACCGTTATTCGGAATAATAAATTACAAAATTCTATTTAGTTACTGGGTTGATGAGAAAATGGCTCAATGGGGACTCGAAACGACGTCCTACCGTTATTCGGAATAGTATTATTACAAAATTAGTTTTTAAATCATTATTTTTTAAGCTAGACTGGAAATAAAAATGTCTTTCGTGAAAGTACTATTGACGAAATTGGCGGTACCTAAGGAAATAAGTTGACGAGTAATTTGGTTTTTTACAGTACTATTTAGTGGACATTTTTGTGAATAACTTCTGTCTTTCTTCTCAATAGATTAATTCATATCATCTTTCATATTTCTTTTGTACCATCCACAACTATTTCACAGAAAATTGTAGTTTCACGTCCAATGCCCCTGCCCATTTTAGCTTAAATTATATTACATTCTCATAATATAATTGGGTAGTTTCCTATGTCAAAAATAAATAAATTCGACGTTTTAATGCGATAAAATATTGAAAAATAACTATACTTTTATTCATCGATCGATCGATACGCTAAGTTTTAGATATTTTTTAGCTAATATTTTAAAAATAAGTAAGCTATTTGACGCAAAAATGCTATGACGTCATAATTCAATGTTTCATACAATTTTCATAGAAAAGTATCGTTTTTGACATTTGGATAAAAGTATTGAATTTGACTAGTTGGAAACTACCGTATTGGCGAAGAATGCATAATTGGAAACAACTTAATAATGTAACAAAAAATCTGTATATTAAACTGATTGAAAGCGAGTAACCATGGAGTTTCTTGCTCGTTCTTCTCCATAGGAATCTACACTTTGGAACGAGCAAATAGCTTCACTAGAGGACTGACCGACAGACTGACACTTTTTATCTTTAAGCTTTGTTTGACGTTCAAAAGTGTCGTTAGTAAGGGTCTAATTGAAATAAATGACTGTGACTTCAAACATAATACTTGTTCCTTTACTGTACTTGTTACCATTAATTTTAATCAGTTTGTAAGCAAAAAATATAAAGATTGTTTCCTTTCGAAGTAGAGTTTATTCAGATCAGCTGTGGATTTTTAGCTCAATTTTGGACCTCTAATAAATGTTTGGTTTATCATTCCCACTCAAAAAAGTTAAGTTCCAAACTTATGCGCTTAAATAATAACTCTATTCATCACAAATACTGTTATTATTAATTATTATGTTTTCGGCTTACTCACGTAATAATTTGACGAGATACTCGACTAGTTTCAAGCCATGCTAGAGCTAGCATGCTACTAGTAGTAGTAGTGCGACAGTCGCCGAGTCGCGTCGCGGAATGCAGCTCATGAATATGGGCCTCTAGCATGGCTTGAAACTAGTCGAGTATCTCGTCAAATTATTACGTGAGTAAGCCGAAAACATAATAATTAATTTAGAATGTCTCACGAAAGTTATAATAAAAATACTGTTATTATTATTTATATCAGAAGAGAAGTGAATTCACTCGGGATTGCTAGTGCAAGCTCTATAATATCCCGCGGCCCTTACCCGGAACAGGAGAAGGATCGTTGTGGTTTTTAGTCAGTAAGAGTCTGACACTCCCTCTCGCCTCATTAGGACGAAACAAAGAAATAATTTGATGATTATTTCCCATTGAAAAGAGATTAAAGGAATGAGTTTTGACCTTTTTTGGGAGAGTTTTTTGTTGTAATTACTTTTACCACGTGCTTAAGCATTATTTATTAATTAAATATCGATGTATATACAGCGAATCTCATTAAAATATTTAATTACTATCTTTTGCCCGCGACTTCGTTCGATTGGACTTCAGATTTGTCCCGTCTAGTCTAGTAATAAGTAAGAAATACGGTAACTGAGCACTGCAGAGCCCTAGGTCTATAGGTAGCTACTGCAGTATGCTCCTATAAACTACATTTAACGATCTTTTTCCTTCAGCATAAACATGCAGATTCTTCGCTTTGGAAACGTAAGCGCAAAAAATGTGTTTTTTACGACCTCACATTAGAAACCTCAAAAATTATAGCCTATGTGTTATTCTGATGTATAAGCTATATTGTGGTAAAGTTTCATTCAAATCCATTCAGTAGTTTTTACGTGAAAGAGTAACAAACATCCATACATCCATACTTACAAACTTTCGCCTTTATAATAGTATATAAGTAGGATATACTACGACACATAATGTTACCTTATCTATCTATTTATAATTGGGTAGTTTCCTATGTCAAAAAACAATTGAATAGTCAAGACAGTAAAATTGACACAATGGCTGGGCAACTGGCTGCCGTGCAACGTGTCGCCGGTGCGATTCCCGCACGGAGCAACTTCTTGTGTAATCCACAAATCGTTGTTTCGGGTGTGGATGTGAATTTAATATGTTTTTAAACGCACCCACGACTCAGTAGGATATCCTAATGTTTGGTAACTTTTTTTTATAAATAATCATACCTACTTTTAATTTTAGTTTTCAAAGAAAAGTAATTATCGTTTTTGACTTTTCAATAAAAGTATTGAATTTGACTGTCGACTTGGAAGCTACCGGTTTCTAATATTTTTTGTCTTAATTAAAAATAAATGCTCAAATACTTTCATAACTTTACTTATAACAAATTATTATAAGTCATTAGTATTTTTTCTATTTTATTTTTTTATATTAGACCAACAATTAAACGAATCTCACTAGTTTGGTTTTTTAATTTTTTCTTTACAGTTTTATACTTAGCTACTGCCGCGCGGTTTCACCTTCTGCTCTGCTCCTTTTGGTCGTAGCGTGATGTTTTATAGCCTATAGCACTCGGGAACATTGTAGCTATATCTATCAGTGAAAGAATCTTGGAAATCCGACCAGCGGTTACAAAGTTTGGGAGAGCCATCCTTCGGCACGAATGGGTCGGCTCGACCGGAGTGATACCACGGCCTCACAGAAAACCGACGTGAAGCAACCACAGCGTTGTGTTTCGCCTTGTGAGTCCTTCCCCTCCCCCCCAAAAAGTCGGCTACGCACTCGTGACTCCTCTGTTGCCATGTGTCGGTGTCCATGGGCGGTGCTGATTGCTTACCATCAGGTAATCCGTCTGCTCGTTGGCCGAACTATTGTCTACATAAAAAAGTAGTTCTCAAAAAGTCAGCGTTTGGCCATTATCACACCTTGTGCAAGCAGTGATGGGTTAGTGTTTTTTACTGTACACAAAACTTTTTTAAATGAATAAAAGGTTAGATGTTTTCAATCAATTGTCACTTAATGTTTTTTATTGTATCTTAAAAAATAAAGTAGGTATTTGCTGCGGTTATTACCGAACCGAAAATATTAACGGGTCCAACTATCTCGCTATCAAAGGGTTACTTTTTCCCAATTTCCCCCTCAACTTTTCTAATATTTTCTTTGATAAGAACCTTCTCCCGACAATAACAAACACAACCAATAAAGAATTAGCAAAATTGATCCAGGCGTTGTTGAGTTATGCGCTTACCAACACATTTTGCGATCCATTTTTATATATATGTATAGATAGATAACGTTAGATTAGAAATGAAAAAATCACTCCCGCCTTTAAGTGTCCCCTTACACGGCGGGTATTTCCACTTTTAATTATAGGTACCACTTTGTCAGTGTGATTGGTATACATAATTGGTGCTAACGTTCACTGATATTATCCACGGACGGACGGACAGACAAACAAACAGACGAAACGAGTACATGGCGAAAATATAAGGGTTCCTAGTTGACTACGGAATCCTAAATAGATGACTGACTAAAAACGACTAAATTGTTGTTTTTTCTTTAATTAATCGTCAATGTCGTGGTGGCCTGGAGGTTAAGGAGCCCGCTTCTCATGCATGAGGGTGTGGGCTCGAAATCTGGCAAGTACCAATGTGACTTTTCCGATTCATATGTACTTCTATGATTATTTAGACACCACTGACATACGGTGAAGGAAAACATCGTGAGGAAACCTGGACTTATAATGTCTAATTATAAGTTTGAAATCGCCAATCCGCATTGAACAAGCGTGGTGATTAATTGCTATAACCTTCTCCGTCTGAGAAGAGGCCTTTGCTCAGCAGTGGACACTTATAGGCTGATGATGACGATGATGAATCGCCTATTTCTATGACGCTTTATTTTTTCTTGCAGGGCGACGGTGGCGCCCCCTTAGCGTGTCCATTCGGCAGCAACAAATACAAGCTGACTGGTCTAGTGGGATGGGGAATAGGATGTGGAGAACAGGATGTCCCAGCTGTATACGCCAATGTCCCAATGTTCAGGAATTGGGTCGATCAAAAGATAGCGACGTGGGGTATAGCCGGGACTTATTCCTAAGAGTTAAAGACTTCTATTCTGTTTGATTGACTCCATACGAATGAATAATGTAATAAGATATCCTATTGTACCTACAAATGTTTTTGATTTAGGGCTGATTTTTCAATGGTGATAAAAGTTTTCTGGGGAATGATTAGGATGCTGTCGCGTCACAATGTTTGTAAAAGACAGTGATAGCAACAATTTTATTTCTCAGATAACATTTAGTTGACTATTGCAAAATCAGCCCTGAAATAGATTACTAATTTTAAAAACTGAATGATTTGAAACAAAATTTAATAGTAAGAAAAAAAACAAGATTTTTTTTCTGTTTTTATTGAACTTTCAACTTAAGTTTCAAGTCGTTTAGGTTGAAAATCTATATAAATGTATTTGGTAGCTTCATGTGCCTGGCGTACTATGTCCGTCAAAAAGTACTATTGGCAAAGTTTACAGCTAACCAGCCAAGCTGGTGTACGATCAATTTTGCCTATAGTACTATTTTGACGTTTATTATAATATTATTATTTATTTTCTTTATTACTTTGCTCTCTTCTATTCATAGTTTTCTTTTTCATTCTATCATTAATTTCATGCCATACATTTACTAAATAATCCATTTATTATGTAAATCATTATTTTTCGTAAATTATTTTCATCAAATTTGAATAATTGACAATCATCTATACGTAGATGAGTTCGTCGTTCGACCATTCTGAGAGGAAACACGGAAACAAACTCAGAAGTTAGAATCTAAGAACACAATGCAGAGAATATAATGACAGTAAACTCAAAATGTGCGGGATTAATAATGTAAGATGTTCATTTTCACAAGTTGACAATAAACTATATTACACTAATATGACAGTTTTTTATTTCGGAAAAAGTCTATTTTTCTTATGTGATAGAATTGCAAATGAGCGGACGGGTTACCTAATGGTCAGCAATTAGCGCCGCCCATGGATATCCGCAACAACGAGTGCGCTGTGGTCTTTTTAGGGAATAAGATTTTCGAAGATTTAGGGATTGGGGAATGATTGGGCCTCCAGTAACCTCACTCACACGGCGAAACAACGCTGTGGTTATTTCAAGCCGGTTTTATGTGAGGCCGTTGTATCACTCCGGACGAGCCGACCTATTCGTGCCGAAGCGTGGCTCTCCCACACTTAATAAAGATAATATCTTTTCAGTTTTCCCATATGCCATAACTATTTTCTTATTGTTTCACGATTTTTGTGTGAAAATATTGAACTTCATTCTCAGACTATATTAAAATAACAATATGTCATCAAAATATTAAATGAAAATAACTGATTTACGTGACTTAACTGAGTGAAGCTCAGCCGGGGTTGCGGGACAAGCGCAATAAAGAACCACGGCGGTCTGGAGCAGGAGAGAGAACGAGTGATATTAGTCAGTAGGTCTGTCACTCCCTCTCGCCATACCCTAGACGAGTCATTACATGATTACCACCTCAAAAAAAGATTCTACTAGTTTGGAGTTACAACGGGATCCTTGTGCATGAACATCTTGCATAAGGGTCATCGCGCAGACGACTCGACTTTTTACAATATAGTTCGGAGAAAGCAACTTTGACGTAGTGTCGAGCAGACAGACACGACAAATCCCTAAGAGTAACGTTTTAATGCCCGAAACAAAAAAAAAATAATGCCTGAAAAAAGACTAAACAGACATTTTTTATCCTTTCTAAATGCTTTCATCAGATTAATGTACCATGTTACTAAGACGTATTTGTTTTTTTCGCAGGGCGATGGTGGCGCCCCCTTAGCATGTCAGTTCGGCAACAACAGATACAAGCTGACTGGTCTAGTAGCGTGGGGGATTGGATGTGGACAGCAGGATGTCCCAGCAGTATACGCCAATGTCCCAAAGTTCAGGAATTGGGTCGACCTGAAGTTGAGAATGTGGGGCTTCGCAGCGACATCTTACAGCAATATAAAGCATTAATTATTTCAACCGAGCAGCTCCACTATTGACAACTAAACGAGTATTATTCAAATAAACATTACCTATTTGTAAAGAAAACAACGTACAGAATTACTCGTACTACAGCATGTTAAGCTATACTATTTTGTCAATGTTATTGAATTTTCAACTAAAGTTTCAAGTTGTTAAGGTAGAAGATATATTGATATTTAGATGGTAGTTTCATGTGCTGGCGTATGTCCGTCAAAAAGTACTGTTAGCAAAGTTTACGGCTAACCGGCCAAGCTGGTGTACAAGCAATTTCGTCAATAGTACTATTTTGACTTTTAATTTATTTTAGTATTAATATTTATTTTCTTTATCACTTTGCTCTCTTCTATTCATAGTTTTCTTTTTCATTCTATCATTAATTTCATTCCATACATTTACTAATTAATCCATTTATTATGTAAGTCATTATTGTTCGTTAATTATTTCAATCTAATTTGAAAAATTGACAATCATCTATTACGTAGATGAGTTCGTCGTTCGACCATTCTGAGAGGAAACACAGAAACAAACTCGGAGGTTAGAATCTAAGAACACAATGTGGAGCTCAAAATATTAATGACAGTAAACTCAAAATGTGCGGGATTAATAATGTAAGACGTTCATTTACAAAAGTTGACAATAAACTATATTTACACAAATAAAACAGTTTTTTATTTCGGTAAAAAAGTCTATTTCTGTTTTGATAGAGCGGCAAATGAACTGACGGATTACCTGAGGGTAAGCAATTAGCGCTTCCCATGAACGGGCGTTGCAATGCAACAACAGAGGAGTTACGAGTGCTTTGCCAACCTTTTGGGGATTGAGGTCTTGAAGATTTAGGTATTGGGTAAGGGGATTGGATCACCGGTTACCAGGTTGTTTCTTGTCGGTTTTATGTGAGGCCCGGTCGAGCCGGCCCATTCCTGCTGAAGCATGGCTTTCCCACAGTTAAACTTGCTCCATCCAGGGTTGGATTTTTTTAAGTTGAAAGGCTTGTGGCGTGTCTTGTCGCGCCAAAAGTCTATTTCATACATTTACAGAATGTGTAGAGTAATGTTTAGAGGCTGAGGGACAAATTCAGGTGTCATGTCGTGTGCTTGCTGGAGAAACTGGGAAGCCGTCTCCTCTTTCTGCGTAACAGTGAAGCTTGCAAAGGAGGAGGCGGAGCGCATGAGGGAACTATCCTCCTCACACCCCAGCCGCCGCAGTAGGCGACAATTCGGGCGTCGAGGATCGAGAGGCAATCTCAGACCACCACAGACGAGACCCTATAGGGCTGATGTTCGGTAGTGGTCTATTGGCTCTTTGAGGCACGCGCGGAACGCTACGCGCCGTACGCTCGGCTCTGGTTCTGGTTGGGCGGCGAGCTACCCTTACTCGCCGTCTGCTGACCCGCGCTTACGGTGGCCGGAGATCGTCTCTCGTTCCCCGACGCTTGGAGTGTCGCTTGCTGCGGCGGCTATGGCGTGAGGAGGAGGATTGCTCCCTCATGCGGTCCGCCTCCCTCTTTGCGAACATAACTGCTTCACAGAAGGAGCAGGCGGCGTCCCAGTTCCTCTCGAAGTTTTACTAGTTTGAAGTCACAACGGGACCCTTACGCAGACCGACAGACATGACAAATTTCTAAGAGTAAACAAAAAATAAAGACTAAATAGACATGTTTTTTATCTTTTCTAAATGCTCTCATCAGATTAATGCCATGTTACTAAGACGTATTTGTTTTATTCGCAGGGCGATGGTGGCGCCCCCTTAGCCTGTCAGTTCGGCAACAATAGATACAAGCTGACTGGTCTAGTAGCGTGGGGGATTGGATGTGGACAGCAGGATGTTCCAGCAGTATACGCCAATGTCCCAAAGTTCAGGAATTGGGTCGACCTGAAGTTGAGGATGTGGGGCTTCGCAGCGACATCTTACAGCAATATAAAGCATTAATTATTTTAACCGAGCAACTCCACTATTGACGTTTAAACGAATATATTGAAACAAACGTTGTTTGTAAACAAAACAATGTACAGAATTACTCTTACTACAGCGTGTTAAGCTATACTATTTTGTCAATGTTATTGAATTTTCAACTAAAGTTTCAAGTTGTTAAGGTAGAAGATATATTGATATTTAGATGGTAGTTTCATGTGCTGGCATAATATGTCCGTCAAAAATAACTATTACCAAAGCTTGCGACTAACTAGCCAAGCTGGTGTACGAGTAATTTCGTCAATAGTACTATTTTGACGTTTAATTTATTATAATACTGTTATTTATTTTCTTTATCACTTTGCTCTCTTCTATTCATAGTTTTCTTTTTCATTCTATCATTAATTTCATTCCATACATTTACTAATTAATCAATTTATTATGTAAGTCATTATTGTTCGTTAATTATTTCAATCTAATTTGAAAAATTGACAATCATCTATTACGTAGATGAGTTCGTCGTTCGACCATTCTGAGAGGAAACACAGAAACAAACTAAGAGATTAGAATCTAAGAACACAATGCAGAGCTAAACATATAATGATAGTAAACTCAAAATGTGCGGGATTAATAATGTAAGACGTTCATTTACATAAGCTGACAATAAACTATATTTATTGACACGAATAGCAGTTTTTTATTTCAAACCTTTTAATAAAAAGTAACTTCTCTGGTGCGAGTGTTTAAGAGTAAGTAGATACCTATTGACGTTTGCTCAGGTACCATCAGGTGATCGCTCATTTGCCGTCCTTGACGCTATGCTATACAAAATAAAGCAAAAAAAGTACCTATTACATTTTTTGAAGTGTCAAAAATACCATTTTTTACATAATTTCTAGAATCAGGCTTTTCAGAAATCCATGACATTAAATGTTAGGAAAAATATTTAGTTTTTATTCAGTTACAAAAATCCAGGCTTGTTGCAAGATGCAATCCCACTTCTATGCAATCATGCATACTATGCACTTGTAGCAAAGCACTGTTCCAAGTAGAGTTTATTCAGATCAGCTGTGGATTTTTAGCTCAATTTTGGGCCTCTAATTAATGTTTGGAAGAGATTAAGGATTATCATTCCCACTCAAAAAAGTTAAGTTACAAACTTATTCACTTAAATGATAACTATATTCTTCACAAATACTGTTATTATTAATTATTATTATTTCGGCTTACTCACGTTCCTAATAATTTGCCGAGATACTCGACTAGTTTCAAGCCATGCTAGAGCTAGCATGCTACTAGTAGTAGTTTAGCGCGACAGTCGCCGAGTCGCGTGTCACGGAATGCTGCTCATGAATATGGGCCTCTAGCATGGCTTGAAACTAGTCGAGTATCTCGTCAAATTATTACGTGAGTAAGCCGAAAACATAATAATTAATTTAGAATGTCTCACGAAAGTTATAATAAAAATACTGTTATTATTATTTATATCAGAAGAGAAGTGAATTCACTCGGGATTGCTAGTGCAAGCTCTATAATATCCCGCGGCCCTTACCCGGAACAGGAGAAGGATCGTTGTGGTTTTTAGTCAGTAAGAGTCCGACACTCCCTCTCGCTCCATTAGGACGAAACAAAGAAATAATTTGATAATTATTTCCCATTGAAAAGAGATTAAAGGAATGAGTTTTGACCTTTTTTGGGAGAGTTTTTTGTTGTAATTACTTTTACTACGTGCTTAAGCATTCTTTATTAATTAAATATCGATGTATATATAGATATACAGCGAATCTCATTAAAATATTTAATTACTAGCTTTTGCCCGCTTTACTAGTTCGATTTGACTTCAGATTTGTCCCGTCTAGTCTAGTAATAAGTAAGAAATACGGTAACTAAGCACTGCAGAGCCCTAATCATAGGTCTATAGGTAGCTACTGCAGTATGCTCCTATAAACTACATTTAACGATCTTTTTCCTTCAGCATAAACATGCAGATTCTTCGCTTTGGAAACGTAAGCGCAAAAAATGGGTTTTTTTACGACCTCACATTAGAAACCTCAAAAATTATATGCCTATGTGTTATTCTGATGTATAAGCTATATTGTGGTAAAGTTTTATTCAAATCCATTCAGTAGTTTTTACGTGAAAGATTAACAAACGTCCATACATCCATACTTACAAACTTTCGCCTTTATAATAGTAAGTAGGATATACTTCGACACAAAATGTAACCTTGTCTGTCTATTCATCATATCTATTTATAACTGGGTAGTTTCCTATGTCAAAAATCAATTGTTTCAATACAATTGAATAGTCAAGACAGTAAAATTGACGCAATGGCTGGGCAACTGGCTGCCGTGCAACGTGTCACCGGTGCGATTCCCGCAAGGAGCAACTTTTTGTGTCATCCACAAATCGTTGTTTCGCGTGTGGATGTGATGTGTTTCACAAACATCATCTAATATGTTTTTAAACGCACCCACGACACAGTAGGATATCCTAATGTTTGGTAACTTTTTTTTATAAATAATCATACCTACTTTTAATTTTAGTTTTCAAAGAAAAGTACTTATCGTTTTTGACTTTTCAATAAAAGTATTGAATTTGACTGTCGACTTGGAAGCTACCGGTTTCTAATATTTATTGTCTTAATTAAAAATAAATGCTCAAATACTTTCATAACTTTACTTATAACAAATTATTATAAGTCATTAGTAATTTTTACTATATTATTTTTTTACATTACACCAACCATTAAACGAATCTCACAAATAAGATTTGGTATTTCAATTATTTCTTTACAGTTTTGTACTTAGCTACTGCCGCGCGGTTTCACCTTCTGCTCGGCTCCTTTTGGTCGTAGCGTGATGTTTTAGCCTATAGCATTCGGGAACATTGTAGCTATCTATCAATGAAATAATTTTGGAAATCCGACCGGTGGTTACAAAGTTTGGGAGAGCCATGCTCCGGCACGAATGGATCGGGTCGACCAGAGTGATACCACGGCCTCACAGAAAACCGACGTGAAGCAACCACAGCGTTGTGTTTCGCCTTGTAAGTCCTTCCCCTCCCCCCCCCCAAAAGGTCGGCTACGCACTCGTGACTCCTCTGTTGCCATGTGTCGGTGTCCATGGGCGGTGCTGATTGCTTACCATCAGGTAATCCATCTGCTCGTTGGCCGAACTATTATCGATACTATCTTCATAAAAAAGTAGTTCTCAAAAGCCAGCGTTTGGCCACTATCGCGCCTGGTAGTAAGCAGTGATCGGTTAGTGTTTTTTACTGTCCACAAAACTTTATTAAATGAATAAAAGGTTAGATGTTTTTAATCAAAAGTTCATAAATATTTTTTATAATAACTAGATCGTGAGACATACTAACTTAACTAAAAATCGCGGGTACTCACGTGTGTAATTGAAAAAAGCTCTACTAGTTTCGAACCACAGAGGGGTTCTTCCTCATGACCAGCGTACGCGGACGCGGCGATGTCGCGCAGCCTACTGGTTAAAACCGAACCGAAAATATTAACATTATCAATAAAATATCATGGTTACTATTTCTATTCATTTTAAAATATAGGTACCCCTAGATATTCATTTTTAAATAGATAACTATCCTAGACACGTTAGAGCTGAAATAAAAAAAAACACTCCCTTCTTTAGGTGACCCTACACGGCGGGTTTTTCCACTTTTAATTTTAGGTACCACTTTGTCAGCGTGATTGGTATTGGTGTCAAATTTCACTTTTCTAGTGCTAACGTTCACTGAGGTTGTCCGCGGACGGACAGACATACATGGTGAAAATATAAGGGTTCCTAGTTGACTACGGAACCCTAAATAGATGACTGACAAAAACCGACTTAATGGATGTTTTTCTTTAATTAATCGTCAATGTCGTGGTGGCCCGGAGGTTAAGGAGCCCGCTTCTCATGCATGAGGGTGTGGTTTCGAAATCTGGCAAGTACCAATGTGACTTTTTCCGAGTTATATGTACTTTCTATGATTATTTAGACACCACTGATATACGGTGAAGGTAAACATCGTGAGGAAACCTCGACTTATAATATCTTACTATTATAAGTTTGAAATCGCCAATCCGCATTGAACAAGTGTGGTGATTAATGTCAAAAGTCAAAAATCATTTATTCCAATTAGACCTTTACAGGCACTTTTGAACGTCAAACAAAATTTAAAATAAAAAATAGTGTCAGTCTGTCGGTCAGTCCTCTTAGTGAAGCTATTTGCTCGTTCCAAAGTGTAGATTCCGATGGAGAAGAAAGAGCGAGAAACTCCATGGTTACTCTTGTGCTATAATGCTATAACCTTCTTCGTCTGAGAAGAGGCCTTTGCTCAGCAGTGGGCACTTATAGGCTGATGATGACGATGATGAATCGCCTATCTCTATGACGATTTTTTGTTCTTGCAGGGCGACGGTGGCGCCCCCTTAGCGTGTCCATTCGGCAGCAACAGATACAAGCTAACTGGTCTAGTGGGATGGGGGATAGGGTGTGGAGAACAGGATGTCCCAGCTGTATACGCCAATGTCCCAATGTTCAGGAATTGGGTCGATCAAAAGATAGCTACGTGGGGTATAGCCGGGACTTATTCCTAAGAGTTAAAGACCTCTAAATTTTTCTTTTTTTTTGACTCTATACCTACGAATGAATAATGTAAAAAGCTATCCTATTGTACAAATGTTTTTGATTAAGGGCCGATTTTTCAATGGTTAGATAAAGGTTGTCTGGGGAATAATTTTGATGCTGTCGCGTCAGAATGTTTGTATAAGACAGTGATAACATTAATTGGACTGTTGAAAAATCAGTCCTAAAATAGATTAATAAGGAACTGAATGAACAAAATTTATTAGTAAGAAAAAAAACAACGAAAAGTTTTCAGTTTTTTATTGAAATTTCAACTTAAGTTTCAAGTCGTTTAGGTTGAAAATCTATATAAATGTATGTGGTAGCTTGCATGTGCCTGGCGTACTATGTCCGTCAAAAAGTACTATTGGCAAAGTTTACAGCTAACCAGCCAAGCTGGTGTACGATCAATTTCGTCGATAGTACTATTTTGACGATTAATTTATTATAATAATTTTATTTATTTTCTTTATCACTTTGCTCTCTTCTATTCATTGTTTTCCTTTTCATTCTATCATTAATTTCATTCCATACATTTACTAATTAATCCATTTATTATGTAAGTCATTATATTTCGTTAATTATTTCAATGTAATTTGAAAAATTGACTATCATCTATGATGTAGATGAGTTCGTCGTTTGACCATTCTGAGAGGAAACACAGAAACAAACTGAGAAGTTATAATCTAAGAACACAATGTGGAGCTCAAAATATTAATGAGAGTAAACTCAAAATGTGCGGGATTAATAATGTAAGATGTTCATTTGCAAAAGTTGACAATAAACTATATTTACACAAATATTACAGTTTTTTATTTCTCGGTTTTGATAGAACGGCAAATGAACTGCCGGATTACCTGAGGAGAAGCAATTAGCGCTGCCCATGAACGGGTGTTGCAATGCAACAACAGAAGAGTTTAAGAGTGCGTTGACAACCTTTTGGGGATTGAGGTCTTGAAGATTTATGTATTGGGTAAAGGGGATTGGGTCTCCGGTTACCTCAATCACACGGCGAAACAATTGTTTCTTGTCGGTTTTATGTGAGGCCCGGTCGAGCCTGCCCATTCCTGCTGAAGCATGGCTTTCCCACAGTTAAACTTGCGCCATCCAGGGTTGTATTTTATTAATCTGAAATCCTTGTGGCGTATCGTGTCGCGCCAAAAGTCTATCTATTTCATACATTCTGTATGTTCAGGGGCTGAGGGACAAATTCAGGTGTCATGTCGTGTGCTAGCTAGAGGAACTAGGAAGCCGTCTCCCCTTTCTTTCTTTCCCTGCGAAACAGTGATGCTCGCAAAGGAGGAGGCGGAGCGCGTGAGGGAACTATCCTCCTCACGCTCCAGCCGCCGCAGTAGGCGACAATTCGGGCGTTGAGGATCGAGTGACAATCTCCGACCATCACAGACGGGACCCTATAGGGCTGATGTTCTGTGGTGGTCTATTGGCTGGGGCGTAAGGAGGAGGGTGCTCCCTCATGCGGTCCACCTTCGTCTTTGCGAGCATGACTGCTTCACAAAAGGAGCAGATGAAGTTTTACTAGTTTAGAGTCACAACGGGACTGTTACGGGGCGGGATGATGGAGACTTTTTAAAAAAAGAACACTTTTACTGAACTGGAAAATAGTAATTTAATTATAAGAAAATACACGTCTTAGATATGTGTCCACAACGAGGTTTCAAACCGATCTACCTTTCTGTGCTAACGGAAATGCTGACGAGACTTTTGATTACCGTCATTACTTAGAAACGAAGTAAACAATTGGGGTTGGTCAGCAGTTTACTTTATATTGACCATGTTGTTATCAGATTATATAACAGGACCCTTACGCAGACCGACAGACAGGACAAATCTCTAAGAGTACCGTTGTAAAGCCACTAAAGCCAGGCCCAGAATCCCGAAAAACAAAGACTCAGTAGATATGTTTTTTATCCTTTCTAAATGTTATCATCAGATTAATGCCATATTACTAAGACGTATTTGTTTTGTTCGCAGGGCGATGGTGGCGCCCCCTTAGCCTGTCAGTTCGGCAACAACAGATACAAGCTGACTGGTCTAGTAGCGTGGGGGATTGGATGTGGGCAGCAGGATGTCCCCGCAGTATACGCCAATGTCCCAAAGTTCAGGAGTTGGGTCGACCTCAAGTTGAGAATGTGGGGCTTTGCAGCGACATCTTACAGCAATATAAAGCATTAATTATTTCAACCGAGCAGCTAAACTATTGACAACTAAACGAATATTATTCAAAAAACATTACCTATTTGTAATGAAAACAAGATACAGAATTACTCGTACTACAGCATGTTAAGCTATACTATTTGTCAATGTTATTGAATTTTTAACTAAAGTTTCAAGTTGTTAAGGTAGAAGATATATTGATACTTAGATGGTAGCTTCATGAGCTGATAGTGTGTCCGTCAAAAAATACTATTGGCAAAGTCTACAGCCAACCAACCAAGCTGGTATACGATCAATTTCGTCGATAGTAGTATTTTGACGTTTAATTTATTTTAGTATTAATATTTATTTTCTTTATCACTTTGCTCTCTTCTATTCATAGTTTTCTTTTTCATTCTATCATTAATTTCATTCCATACATTTACTAATTAATCCATTTATTATGTAGTTCATTATTGTTCGTTAACTATTTCAATCTAATTTGAAAAATTGACAATCATCTATTACGTAGATGAGTTCGTCGTTCGACCATTCTGAGAGGAAACACAGAAAAAAACTAAGAGATTAGAATCTAAGAATACAATGTAGGGCTCAAAATGTAATGACAGTAAACTCAAAATGTACGGGATTAATAATGTAAGACGTTCATTTACATAAGCTGACAATAAACTATATTTATTGACACGAATAGCAGTTTTTTATTTCAAACCTTTTAATAAAAAGTAACTTCTCTGGTGCGAGTGTTTAAGAGTAAGTAGATACCTATTGACGTTTGCTCAGGTACCATCAGGTGATCGCTCATTTGCCGTCCTTGACGCTATGCTATACAAAATAAAGCAAAAAAAGTACCTATTACATTTTTTGAAGTGTCAAAAATACCATTTTTTACATAATTTCTAGAATCAGGCTTTTCAGAAATCCATGACATTAAATGTTAGGAAAAATATTTAGTTTTTATTCAGTTACAAAAATCCAGGCTTGTTGCAAGATGCAATCCCACTTCTATGCAATCATGCATACTATGCACTTGTAGCAAAGGTTCTCGCTCGACGAGCGTTCATTCGCAGCCGAGCGCTCGTCGAGCCAACATCTACTGAGGATGCCCTTTGGAGGGGTGAAACACGTGTTGAGTATAGGTTTGATTGCGTGGCATGTTTTTCCCGTTTTTTGCATGTGTGCATATGCATGTGAGCGGGAGGGTGAGACCTTTGCTGCATGTATGTAACATTTTTTACATTTCAAAAGAGTTTAAGTTTACAAAACTGTGACGTTACATTTCTTTTAAGTCAAAATAAATATAATTCCTAGTTACAATATATTGTTCGCCGGACAATTCACCACCATCCGTTAGTTAAGCAGGTTGTGGACTGAAAGTTGCGTTCTGGACTCAAACTGTTTGTACTTTGTATGGTAACTATCGTGAGACATATTTAATTCATTAACAATAACTTACTCACGTGGATTAACTAGAGACAGATTTACTATATTTCAAGTTACAACGACAGTCTAGTCTAGTGGGTACGGCGCGTTCCGTTCCACGCGCGCAGATGTCCCTCTAGGGCTTATGTTCGGCCAAGGTTGCGGGGTAGGCGCAACAGGGCACCGCGACCTCGGCCTAGAGCAGGAGATGGAACGGGAGGTTTTTAGTCAGTAAGAGTCTATCACTCTCTCTCGCCTTACGCTGGGCGGGAGAAGTCATTTGATGATTTTCCCCTGAAAAAAAAAGCTTACTCTGGTGCGCGCATGTATAAAAGACCCGTTTTGACTTGAAAGTCTTGCAAAATCATCAAATGACCTCTCCCACCGTGGGTAAGACGAGAGAGGGTCAGATTCTTACTAAGTAATAAGCCCCCGTTCCTTCTCCTGCTCCGGGCCGAGGGCGCGAGGAGGATAGTTCCCTTACGAGATCCGCCGCTTCCTTTGCGAGCATCATTGCTTCGCAAAAAGACTAAGGGTCGCGAGAGATCGCCGCCGCCGATCACTTCCCCGAGGACATGGCGGTGCTCAGCCCAACCAGGGCACACCGCCACCGTATGCTCCACCGTGTCCTCGGTGGTGAAATTAAGGCTTAAGTTGCCTTTTCTGTTTCATTGAAAATTCAATAAATTTTGTGTAGTTATTTTCTCAAAAGACCACTTCAGAATGAACTTGCACGGTTCTAACAATTTATTTTTAAACTTGTCTGGGTTGTAAATACGTTTCCGAATTAAAATGGTGCCGAATATGCTGGCTGAATCTAGATTTTTTTTATGTTGGCAACGATATCTATCAAGTGTGGGAGAGCCAAGCTTCGGCACGATTGGGTCGGCTTGAACGGAATCGTACCACGGCCTCACAGAAAACTGGCTTGACCAACGCGACGTGAATGAGGTTACCGGACGCCCAATCACCAAAGGGCCAGCAACGCCTCTGGTGTTGCGAGTGTCAATGGGCGGAGTCGATTACTTACCATCAGGTAATCCTGTCAATTGGTACCGACCTATTTAAAAAAAGTCAGAAAGTCCTTTAATGACCTTTATATAAAAATAAGTGTGTTGTTTCATTACAAAAATTAATATCGTTGTATTTCTGTGTTCATTATTCATTAATTTGTTGTAACGATTGGTTTGTGACTGGTTCATTATCCCTTCCCAATACTCATAACCAATTTCTCAAATTAATCCCATATCCCCAAAGAAGCGGCAACTCTGGTGGTACGGTTGCTCATTTGCCGAGTAATCAAATAGAATAACAGCCTAGTTTATCGTGTGGGTGAGCAAATACAACCTTGCCCAACTGCCTTCTTCCACCATCCCTATTCACTCAAATACCAAACTTATTTAGCTTAAGTCCATGGTTAGATTCCCTACTCGGGACATGACATTACAAGACACTCGTAAAGGTTTTTGAGGGGGGCAAATCATCAAATGACTTCTCCCGTCCCGAATGGAGCGAGAGGGAGTGACAGACTCTTACTGACTAAAAACCACCCCGCCCCTATCCCCCAGGCCGAAGCTGCGGTGGGTTTGCGGTCGGCGAGTAAGGGCAGCTCGCTGCCCGACCAGAACCAGACCCGAGCGTACGGCGCGTAGCGTTCCGCGCGCGCCTCAAAGACCCAATAGACCACCACAGACGGGGCCCTATAGATGTTCAGCCGGGGTTGCAGGGCAAGCGCACTGAGGCACCTCTGCCTCGGCCTGGAGCAGGAGAAGGAACAGGGGGGTTTTAGTCAGTAAGAGGCTGACACTACCTCTCGCCTTACACTGGGCGGGAGAAGTCATTTGATGATATTTCGCTGACAAAAAAGGCCGGAGTTCCGGTACATTCTTGCGCTAGATCCGCATTGTAGTAGGTAGGTACTAAGTTCAAATGATAACCGTCAAGTATGTAATAAAAATATATTTTTATTTATATTCAACATTAAAACTAAATAATAATTATTTAAGATCGTTTACGCGTAACATTGTGTACTTATAGTGCTTTCTGAATATCAATAAGGTAGTTTCCAACTAGTCAAATTCGATACTTTTTTTCGAAATTTCATAATCGATAATTTTTTATAAATCTTGTATGAAATGGTACCTTGTGATAGCTTACTTATTTCCTTTGAATCAAGTCGAAAAAATATGAATATTAAGTATGTTTATCTAAAGAAAAAGGAGAAATTGAATTAAAGAAAAAAAGTAAGAGAGAAATTGCACCTGTATTCATTAATTTAAAATAATACAGGTGCAATTTCTCTCTATCTTTTATAAAAACGTTGCCCCACACGTAGGATTTTCTCCTGTGTCATGGATGCGTTTACAAACATACAATTTCACATACACATCGCACCCAGTCCCAGATCAATAATTTGTTGATCACACAAAGAGTTGTTCCGTGCGGGAATCGAACCCACGACACGTTACGCAGCAACCACCGCACCAACCGTGCAGTTTAATTTTTCCTCAGTATATTTTTTTCAGTTTTATTTTACAATTATTTTTCAGTATTTTTATAGTTTTATGACAGAAAGAATTGCGTTTATTAGGGATCAGATATAAAGGCCAGGAACAAAAAAATATACAACACTTTTAAAAATAACAAATAAGTTTTAAAAACAGTTAGAAAATAATAATACTAATGATTATAAAACTGTGACTGCATGGTTGGCATGGTGGTGTCGCAGGTTCGATTCCCGCACGGAACAACTCTTTGTGTGTGATCTACAAATTATTGTTCCGGGTCTGGGTGTGATGTGTATGTGAATTTGTATTTATGTAAACGCACCCGCGACACAGCAGAAAACCGTTGCGAGTAACTATAGGTACACGATTGCCAGATATTGGCCCAATCAGAATAGATCATAAAGTGTCATCTATATATTGAAATAATGAGTGTTTGTCTGGGGAAACTAGCCAATTAATTTATAAACTACCTACCTATGAAATTGCCGTTCTGCAGTACTGGCCATTTCAAATCAAAATAGTTTTTGTTAGGCTAAGGCTAATTAATTTTGTTTTAAAAACATGGGATTCTTTTTCCAAAAGTAGTCATTTGTTTATTGATTAGTGTCACATTTTCATCGCATTTCAAATAAAAAATTCGATTAAATTTTTTCATGCAAAACGGCAATTTCATAGGTAAATACCTATTATTTATTTTATTTTAACTGTAGGTAAAGCAGCGCTGCAGTTCGCCTTCTCTAGTTCGGCGTGAAGTTGTTTCAAACGAGCTCTAGCTAATGTCAGATTAGCATTTGTAGCCCTCATGCTTTCCTGGAACGAAATAAAGATATTTATTTAATCTACTAATACTAGGTATGTGTGGGAGAGCCATGCTTCGGCACGAATGGGTCGGCTCGACCGGAGTGATACCACGGCCTCGCAGAATACCGGCGTGAAATAACCAAAGAGTTGTGTTTCGCCGTGTAAGTGAGGTTACTGCAGTCCCAATTGTTCACTTCTCCCAATCTCTAAATCTCCAAATACCTAATCCCCAAAAGGTCGGCAATGCACTCGATGTCATGGGCAGCGCTGATTGCTTACCATCAGGTAATCCGTATGCTCGTTTGCCGTCATTTCACATTAAAATGACGAGGTTACGGTTAACGGACACTGGTATCGCCATGAGCTAATGTTCACATGTAAACAGTGACTCGTGTAGTGTAGATGTCCAGTCAACTGATGGTAGCGAGGTTCACTGTCCAGTGACACGGACGCTGGTATCGCCATGAGTTAATGTTCACATGTAAACAGTGACTCGTGTAGTGTAGATGTCCAGTCAACTGATGGTAGCGAGGTTCACTGTCCAGTGACACGGACGCTGGTATCGTTATGAGCTAATGTTCACATGTAAACAGTGACTCGTGTAGTGTAGATGTCCAGTCAACTGATGGTAGCGAGGTTCACTGTCCAGTGACACGGACGCTGGTATCGTTATGAGCTAATGTTCACATGTAAACAGTGACTCGTGTAGTGTAGATGTCCAGTCAACTGATGGTAGCGAGGTTCACTGTCCAGTGACACGGACGCTGGTATCGTTATGAGCTAATGTTCACATGTAAACAGTGACTCGTGTAGTGTAGATGTCCAGTCAACTGATGGTAGCGAGGTTCACTGTCCAGTGACACGGACGCTGGTATCGCCATGAGTTAATGTTCACATGTAAACAGTGACTCGTGTAGTGTAGATGTCCAGTCAACTGATGGTAGCGAGGTTCACTGTCCAGTGACACGGACGCTGGTATCGTTATGAGCTAATGTTCACATGTAAACAGTGACTCGTGTAGTGTAGATGTCCAGTCAACTGATGGTAGCGAGGTTCACTGTCCAGTGACACGGACGCTGGTATCGCCATGAGTTAATGTTCACATGTAAACAGTGACTCGTGTAGTGTAGATGTCCAGTCAACTGATGGTAGCGAGGTTCACTGTCCAGTGACACGGACGCTGGTATCGTTATGAGCTAATGTTCACATGTAAACAGTGACTCGTGTAGTGTAGATGTCCAGTCAACTGATGGTAGCGAAGTTCACTGTCCACTGACACGGACGCTGGTATCACCATGAGCTAATGTTCACATGTAAACAGTGACTCGTGTAGTGTAGATGTCCAGTCAACTGATGGTAGCGAGGTTCACTGTCCAGTGACACGGACGCTGGTATCGTTATGAGCTAATGTTCACATGTAAACAGTGACTCGTGTAGTGTAGATGTCCAGTCAACTGATGGTAGCGAGGTTCACTGTGCAGTGACAAGGACGCTGGTATCGTAGAAAACTACTTACTTGTACATTAAGTAATGTTTTGTCGGCTCTTGTCAGCTTCTCCACTGATATTTCTGTTGTATGCTTTATAAGGCCTTCGAGGGTAGCCCTGAATGACACGTTGCATTCCCCTAGAAACAAGGAAAATATTTTGTAAATAAATAAATATACAGTAATAATTTCTGGTTTCAGTCTCTGCTCTGCACCTATTGATCGCAGCGTGATGTTTTATAGCCTATAACTTTTCTCGATAAATGGACTATCCAAGGCAAAATAATTGTTGATTTCGGACCAGTAGTTTCGGCGATTAGCGCGTTCAAATAAATAAACACAAAAAATTTATTGTTAAAAAAATATCAGGAATAGTAAATTTCCGTATGTAATATTTGACAAATAAATAGATCATACAATTAACGTTCTTCAGTCAAATTTATCTAATACGTAGTTGGTTTTTCATTTAAATATGGGAGAGCCACGAATGGGCTGGAGTGATACCACGGCCTCATACACACATACTCAGCGTGAAACAATGTATGAGTCGTTTAAAGGTGTGAAGGGGGATTACCGAAGGGCCATCCTCCCCTGACATACCCAATGCCCAAATCTCCAATCCTAAAATCCTTTGAGATTCAACAAAATGCTGGCAACACATTTAAAACTCTTTTTGTGTTGCGAGTGTCCATGGGCGGCGCCGATTGCTTACCATCAGGTGATCCGTGGGCTCACGTGTCGATCTATTCCATAAAAATATATAAACTGAAAAAATCTCAAAAATTTGGCAGCATTGCAGCTATTGAATACACTTACTGACGAACAGAAGTGTCAGACTATTATTCTATTTTCAAAATTACCTACAGTACAGCCGCCGTATCTTGGCGAGTCTGAAGTTAGCCGTTTGTCTGCGCAATGGATCTTTTAGGAACAAAATTGTGTACTGCGCAGCTAATCGGCTAACTTCAGACTCTATTCTATATCTAAGTATTTATGGTTTAGTTTGAATAAATTACGTTGACTTTGATTTTGACTTACAAAGTTTCTGATGCAGCAATGAGTTGTAAATGTTGGAGTTAGGAGGCGCTGGTGATGGAGATGGTTGGAGTACGCTGTGCAGCGGTAAATCTAGTTCCGGCAGATTTTGTGGTATGGTCAGTTTTGTTTCTGTAATAGAAAATATATTTAACATGCTTCCGCACGAATGGGTTTTTTCGACCGTATTCGACCTTATTTAAAGCCGAGTCAAGCCTTATTACAGAATGTGAATGTTTGTGAACGGGTGCCGTCGGTTGGGACTGGTCAGCTCCAGACTGTCTATTGTCCTTAAGGTTACTTTCTTTTTATATTTGAATAAATATTAGTGTTACACTGTTCTCACATAATTGAACTAACTGTTTGTAAAAGGAATCTGTATATGAAACTGATTTAAAAAGAGTAATCATGGAGTGTCTTGCTCGTTCTTCTCCATCGGAATCTACACTTTGGAACGAGTAAATAGCTTCACTAAGAGGACTGACACTATATCTTCAAAATTTTGTTTGACATTCAAAAGTGCCTGTAAGGGTCTAATTGGAATAAATGATTTTTCACTTTTTTTTTGAGAAGTTATAGTTCGAAAATAATTTTATTTGGCTTACCATCATCAGATTCTGGAGCCTCTCCTGCGATCACAAATGACTTTGTATTCACCGTTACGTCAAGGTCCTGCAATTAAAATTAAATAAGGTTTGATATCATACCTACTAGCTCATTTGTTTTTCCGTCTTATTTAGAATCATTTAATAGTTTTAGAATTCTAGTACATAGTAATTGCTTTCAGTTAAAAAACTTAACTAAGTATGGCTGCCATCTATAAAACCCCTCAGGATCAGAATGGTAAGTTCCCCGGATTTTAGCTTTCACTATGAATTTTTAAATAATTGATTTAGAGGTATGGGGAACAGGGTGGATAGTTCCTCATCCTCCATTGAAAAGGGTGGATCCTTCAACCAGGCGAGGTGTTCGTGCCTGGTGGGCTACTGCCCAACAGTTGTTGTCTGGATTTTTCTATAGGTGCTTATTAGCGCGTAAACTTCACTTGCGCAATGTACAATCTTGCACGTGATTGGTGCTATTGTTCTTGTTGTGCGATAGATGTCGCTACAAATTGATTGACTTAAAAGAATTATGTATGTGTTTTTGCGATTAGCTGAACCAACTTGGATGTGGTTGGCAGAAAAGTATTAGTTATACAAAGGAGAAGTATTTTGTATATTCACCAATTTAAAACACAAGGAGGTTGTCAATTTTTCCTAATATATACACAGTCAATCCTATGCAGGTTGAACATGAATATGTCCAAGAGGGCATTCAAAATATGAGAAATCACTTCTAGGAGGACATTCAAAATATGACAAATCCGGAAAAGCCTAGAAAGATGGCAATCCTATAACTAAGGAATAATAATAATTATACTTATTTGCGTGAAGTGTGGTAGTACAGATGTCAATTAACATAAATTGGTTTCACTTAAATCACCTAATATTTGGGCATGCAAAATTATAAGTAGAAATGAATATATAAGAAACTTAATATATTTTAGTGACTTAAGAAATTTAGAATAGCCCTTCATTATTAGAAACTAATCTAAGGTGTAGAAGCAACTGTTAATAAGGAATCTTTATAAAGTACTTGCATCCACACGCAGTTTTTCCATAAATTTCAATCAAATCGGTCCAGTTTTGGAAGAATAGAATTCATTTATAGAATAGAATAGAATTCATTTATTTGCAGGAAGTGTGGTACAGAAAGATCTAAGAGCTTAACAGTCAAATTTCACACTTCGCCATAATATAAATGGCATGCAAAATTTATCATTTTGAGGGTTCATTGTATGTATACCGATGAAACGTCAATTACATGTGCAGAATAATCATACAATTGATTACCAAATCACCAAAAATACAAAATAATATGTCAGTACTTACAAAAAATTTATTAATTAACACATTAGTCAATGTTACATTCAATTTCGTCGGGTAATTTTACACAGTCACTTTAATTTTTTATTATTTGCCACAAAGCCTTACACTTGTTTTTTGCTCGGGATATGAAGACATGGTTCATGTTTGCTTGTGATTGAGAAATACATCTTCTTAGCATAGTACTATAATTTTTATATGTTCATTTATTTTGTGAGCTTTTGCATTTATAGTATACATGTCTAAGCTCTCTCTTTCTTCTACACGATCTTTTAATTCCTTTTGTTATCCACTTAGGAGACTTTATACTGGAGTCTATTTTTTTTATATATTTTTATATTTATCTCTATTGGAAAACATAGGTTGTAGAATAACTTAATTGTGTCATAAAATGTATCAAATTTGTGCCTTATTTACGTTATTTTTGACTTTTAACACATCCGACCATGTTAATGCTTCAATACAGTTTTTTAATTTAACCATGGTGAATAATAAACATACATCAATACATTCTCACAAACTTTCACTTTTATAATATTAGTAGGATGCAATCATTGTCTGTGTCTGAATATGAAAGTTAGTATAAATAACAAGCTTAAGAAGTTATGAAGTTATTTTGATACTAAGAAATGCCAGAAAAGTGAAGCAATATGTTTTTTAACACGAAGTGATAAAAAAGTTTGTTTTGTTCAATATACGCAATACAAACCGGTGATTTGCCGACTTCTATTTCAGAATCGCTTTCAGACGCTTCACCGTCGACCACTTGTGCATTTTTAGACATTTTCTTATTGGAAACTTAATGTTTTTTGTATAAAATCGTGTTAGAAAACTCACTGCGATACAATCTGTTTACGTATTTTGACAGCTTATAGTTACAGCTGACATTGACATTTACAATTTGGAACGGAGCTGGACATATCAAATGTCAAAAGACTTGCGTTTTGTTATTTCTGAAGTTGTTGATATTGGCTTTTTTTTGTCAGATGAAAATCATCACAATACATGGTTTCTCCCGCCAAGGGCCGGGCGGGAGGGAGTGTCAGACTCTTACTGACTAAAAACCCCCTGTTCCTTCTCCTGCTCTGGGCCGAGTTCGCGGTGCCTCATTGCGCTTACCCCGCAACCCCAGCTGAACATCAGCTCTATGTGGTGGTCTATTGGCTCTTTGAGGCGCGCGCGGAACGCTACGCGCCGTACGCTCGGGTCTGGTTCTGGTCGGGCTGCGAGCTGCCCTTACTCACCGACGGCAGACCCGCGCTTACGGTGGCCGGAGATCGTCTATTAATCCTCGACGCCCGTAGTGTCGCCTGTTGCGGCGGCTGGGGAGTGAGAAGGAGGATTGCTCCCTCACGCTGGCCACCTTCCTCTTTGCGAGCATAACTGCTTCACAGAAGGAGGAGACGGCGTCCCAGTTCCTCTCACAGTTGATATTGGCTGTATTGCCAATTTTTCTATTTGTTTTCAATTTCAGTTTATTACCTATTTATTTTATATTTTACACACTATTCAATTTTTGTTTCGATGCTAACTATTAAATTCTATTAAATTCTCTATTGTGTCCCAAAGTTACACTTGAGCGTCGAATTACATCTCGATGTGGTTTAGTTACCAAGCTTGGACTAGGTGGGTTCAATAGATTCATTAAATTGTCTCGCTTTGAGGTGAACAGATTCAGTATACATGATTATTTATCTGGTGTTAAATTGACTCAGTATACATATACAACTGGTTTTGAGTAAATATTAAAAAAAAGTATTATACACACGAATGAAAAGAAATATATGTATATTTAAAGTGGAGTTTTTTTTTAAATATCATAACTTGACGAGGTGGCCCGGAGGTCAAGGCGTCCGCTTCTCATGCATGAGGGTGAGGGTTCGAAACCTGGCAAGTACCAATGAGACTTTTTCCGAGACATACTCTAAGGTTATTTAGACACCACTGACAAACGGTGAGGGAAAAAACATCGTGAGGAAACCTGGACTTATATAATTTCTAAATATAAGTTTGAAATCGCCAATTCGCATTGAGCAAGCGTGGTGATTAATGCTCACACCTTCTCCGTGTGAGAAGAGGCCTTTGCTCAGCAGTGGGCACTTATAGGCTGATGGTCATGATGATTATTTACAGTACCCATATAGTAATTGCAAAATATTGTGTAAATAATAGTTTTGGAAAATTAGGTATATAGGTAATCCCTGCGGCAGCGCCGAGCTTTATATGTATAAACATAATTGGTATATGTACCTACGTAATATTATATTCACCATTTTCAGGAGATAAGGAGTGAAATAATTAATTCCAATCTTTCTAAAATCTAATATAACACCTCAATAAAGTCCTAGTCAAACATTGAACTTACTATTTAAACATACTAATAATAATATTATAGTGGTGGTGGACCGAAAGGAGAGGCGTGCAATGATTGTTGACATAGCTGTCCCACATGACGAGAACCTTGTGAAAGCCGAGAAAGATAAACTGATCAAGTATATCGACTTGGCACGCGAGGTTGTCGACATGTGGGAAGTGGATTCAGCTATCATTGTACCGATAGTCGTGTCAGCCAATGGCTTAATAGCCAAGAGCCTCGACCAACATCTTAGGAGGCTCTCGTTAGGTGGCTGGATCAAGGGCTTGATTCAGAAAGTGGTACTCCTGGACACGGCTCGTATTGTCAGGAGGTTCCTTTCTCTGGAGCCCTGACCGCCGGTAGCTAGGACCCTGTTCCCGATACCGGTGGGACACTATTTTTTATATTTTTAAATGTTTTTTTTTTCTTTTAAATTTTGAAGAAATATTTAAAAATGTAAATTATATGTTTATATGTTGAATAAAGAGAATATTATATTAGGCCTGATTTTTCAATAGTCAGATAAATGTTATCCAAGGAATAAAATTTTTGCTGTCACTGTCTTATACAAACATTCTGACGCGACAGCATTATAATTATTCCCCAGGTAACTTTTATTTTTAAGTAACTATAAAAAACAGCCCCTAATACAATAATTAAGGAGAGGAATAAGAATGATCTTGACCTTGGCTGATGTGCGCCCATGTTTTGAGCCCCGGTAAATCGAAATACTTCACTTTTCAAAAATAAATTTACTTTGCTACTTTGAGATGAAAATTCACGACTCGTAGGTAATGTTTTTTCTCTCTTTTTCAAAGTCAAAGTCAAAATCATTTATTCCAACTAAACCTATATAGGTACTTTTGAAACGTCAAAATAGAAAAGTAGTCTGTCAGTCTGTTCGTCAGTGAAGCTAGGTGCTCATTCCAAATTGTAGATTCGAATGGAGAAGAACGAGCAAGAAACTCCAGTCGTTACTCTTATTTAAAAAAAAATGTTTTACAATTTCAATAATCTAACATTTATAGTATACATTAGTGTACCCTTATGTGAGAACAATGCAGAGACAAGTTGTTAAAAAACAGAACAAATGAGGGGACCTATCATAAAATTTTACTCCTTTGTCGTCTCGAACATGGCGCTCACATATGCGTACTCACAATCTTTAAGAGTGCTTCTATATAAACTTTTTGGATATATAAATTAAGGATGCATTATTTTTGAGAATTTTACCTAACTGCTGACTATATTTGAGTATTGTCCAGTGGAGCCGAATCAACACCCTGCCAGGCATTCTTATCCTCAATATAATTTGAAAGTTTGTAGTATTTTGGCGACATCTGTTAGGTATTAATTTAATATATAGTGGAAGCTGCCTTCTTGCACAGATTGGTTTTGTGGGATTGAATGATCTTACCATATGACCTTACAACTATACTAACTTGAATTCTGTTTCGTCGTATGTGTAAGATTACCAGAGGCCAAATCGTCGCCCTTCCCTATTTCCTAAATTCTCTGCATCACCAATTTTTCCCATCCTTAATGTCGGGAAGTCTAGCAGCGCACTTTTCACTTCAATGATGCTAATGCTAGTGTGTGTGCAACGCCAATAAAATTGATTACCATTAGTTGATTTCCTTCTTTGGCCTATCTAAGCTAGCAAGAAATCAAGATCAGTTTGTCACTTTCAAGAATCTTCTTTTCTTTTCTACCTGGAAGGGGTCTCGGTGAAGACCCCGAAGAGTCGTGGTGGCCCGGAGGTTAAACAGCCCGCTTCTTATGCATGAGGGTTCGAAACCTGGCAAGTACCAATGTAACTTTTTCCGAGTTATATGTACTTTCTATGATTATTTAGACACCACTGACAAACGGTGAAGGTAAACATCGTGAGGAAACCTGGACTTATAATTTCTAATTATAAGTTTGAAATCGCCAACCCGCATTGAGCAAGCGTGGTGATTAATGCTCTAACCTTCTCCTTATGAGAAGAGGCCTTTGCTCAGCAGTGGACATTTATAGGCTGATGATGATCCAGGGGTCTCAAGTTTTATGAGTTTATATCTAGAGAAAGTCTTTTCGGATCATGGGATTCGTGATCACAAAATGAGAATATTTTTTTGAGGAAAAAGTTTTTAAGTTAAGAAAGCTTACCTACTTTGGTCAAAATACAAATGAGGCAATACAAAAAAAAAATGGAATAAATAAAACGCAGAATAAACATGAAGAATCATTTACTATCAGATTTAACGTGGACGTATTGACACAGCGACAAAGTATTAATATTTACAATAATGTATTATACTTTTCATTTTTAACGCCTAGGGGCACAACATACCTTAAAAATAAATACAAACAACTTACAATTACTAAACGTAATATTGAAAAAAAGTTGATTTAGTTGTTGTAAAGCCGCGACCTCACTTCGGCGATGGTTTTTTATTTGATTGTAGACGGATGTCCTGTTATGACACATTTGTCTGATTACTTATTTTATTTATTTAAGATCATATCGAAATATAATCACATTAAATCAAATTTTATTAAAAAAAACAAAGTGAGGTCAAAACTCAAAAATTGACAGGTGTCATTTGAAAAAAGGCGGCAAAACAGACATATTTTTAATGGTTGTGGTAGTTGTATTTTATAAAGAACAATTTTTAAGCTTTATTAAGTAAATGCAAGACCTTTCTGTGTGTAAATTTTTTTCCCTTTTAGATAAATTACTAAAAGTTTTGTAGAGTTAGTAGTATCTACAATAACGAAAAAAAATGTTTGTCGCTATCGGTACCTTTGCTGTGTCATGTTAATAGGTACCTACCTATTATGATGTCACAATACAATGTCTATTAGTTTATCAACAGAAAAATGATACAAAAAGCTCTTGCATTTAAAGAACAGCGCAATCAAAGGTTATATCACGTACAATACTGGTGATATTACATCGTTTAGTTCATCAGACCGAAGTCCGGAATCTTGCCCAAGTCGGCCTGTCTGTGGGTCAACGTTGCAGTCGTATGTAATTAGTAGTACGATGATAAATCACTCATGCATTGATCACTGCATGGAGGTAAGAGAGAAGGAGAAAACTTCGTGCTAAAGCATTAGCCCGTCTGTCCCTGAAATATTGTAGAATTTAATAGTTCATTTTTTAGCCACCAGCTGCGCTGCCATCGGTAAGTAGTATCTGTGTAGTTAGCTGTTTATGAATGCAAGTAGATGAAGTTAGTTGAATAATGTACTTACATCAATTATCTTTGCGGCATTGGTAAGCGCACAATAGATCGCTTTTATTGAGACAACTTAGTGATCGTAGCGCCTAACTTATTTTGTCCGTATTTCTGGGACACTATTTTCTACAGCGATCGTCCTACTTCTCTCTAACCTCCATGGTTCACTGTCAGTCTGACAGTGACAGATAACCTCCAATATAACAGATACAAAAAAAATATTTACAAATATAATTTAGGTAATTAATTAATATCATTTC